CTATAAGATAACCATGAAGTGGAATTTAAACCTTCTATATACCACATGTCTTAAGGACAGAAGAGTGGAACCCAAGTTTTAAAACTTTGAGCCACTAAATGAAAGAACGGAGCCAAACTCCCAAGTATAAAGCTGAGGAACAAAAGAACTAGAGTATGGAGTGACTTTTGAGCATTCAACCCAAGGAGCAAAGAGACAGAAGGGACATAAGAATAGTCGTAGACCATCCAACATCCCAGGACTAGCATGCAAAATAAAGTTATATAGAGTCTGACACTATTTCAACATACTGATGGCCTAATACAAGGATATGAGTACTCCACCAGCTAACATGGAATGGTAGAGCCAAGTTGAACGTAGAACCAAGACAAGCACGTAAACAAGAGCTAAACTATACCTCAGATTGGTCAACCATGCCTAATTTACCCATTATCCCTACTATACATTTGGAACCCCTGCACCCTTAGTACCAAAAGTTAATCTCTGGGACAAGTTTAAAATTTACTAAATATAGAATATTCCTAGATTGCAAATTTAAACACGAAACGACAGAACAATCTCTACATTCCGTAGATATGCCAAATGAGTATATTTAGGCACTTTCCATAAATAGCAATTAAGACTGGAACAAGACCAACACAAGGGGCACAAGGCTGTTTAACAGACATAGTAAACTATCATTTAACGAATATTAAATGACCAATTTTAATATTACGAGAGTTCCCAACACTAACAAGTGCAAGCTAATGATAGGAGTTTCTCAAACTAGGCTGAATATGCTCAATAAGAAACACATAGGAGTTCCTACCTTATATTTATCCAATTTAAGTATATGGTCATTGATTAGTTTCTCAACTAACTTTAGTGGAGACTGATAAAGGGTTTAACAATACCAACTTCCTGTCATCGTGGCAGTAAGGAAAGAATATTTGAAAGGACTAACCAACAAGTAACTTTTGATACCCGAAGTCACATTTGCAATAGTAGTGCTCACTAACACTACCATTAGGCTAGATCCTGAAGGCCCAACCATTATATACTATTGACTTTTAGGACTTCCTCACCACGTAACTATACCCTTGGTCACTATGCAAAAGATATGCTCCTCTTCCTTTTCACAGTTTGGACTTTTGGGATGACATTTTGAAATATTATGGCTTTACATGAGTCTCGTGGGTACCGTGCCCCCCCCCCCCCCCTTTTTGTCTCTAGAGTGAGGTTCAAATGAGCCACTCTAGGTATCTAAGTAAGTAGATTAAATTGAGAGTATTGACCATTTGATCTCTTAGGGAAGTTAGAGTTGGCTCTTGAACACTTCACTAAGTTACCCCACTTGTCTGTCCATGTTCACTTTAATATTAGATTCCTTAATGGTTATATCATCACCCACCAAGTGGATATAACCTTCCTAGATCACATTAGCTTAATCCGGCCAAATTAGTTCCACTAAAGTCCAACTCTTACACTTTCTTTACTATACGTTTGGAACCCCTTGCAACCACAAGCTGATGGAGCAGGACTTTGAGGGGCTATGGAAAGGCACAATGGAATTGTGGCCAAAGCTTGTAGCTGAGGAGATGAGCATTTCATCATGTATGACAAGGAGTTATAAGGGTGCACAGCCGAGTCAAGTGCAAGCAGTCCAATTTTTGCAATTGCTGACATTGCAATGGAATCTCTGCCTTTCAATGGGGTGGCTCCCATGGAATGTTTCTTGAGCCTTGACATCAATGTAAGCTCTATGGGATGTTGGTAGATCCTTTGTGCATGGAGCAGGCAGTGCCATCCAACAAGGGTCTTCAGGCCGTGCTTGACAGTGAGGTAGAAGCAAAAGATGACAAGCCTGGAAGTCGTGGCTTGAGAGGCCTCAGGAGAATCAGATTATCGTGGGCCTGGGAGCATTCTGGGATCTTGTGGACCAGGACTTGGTTGATATTATGTTGGCGGACACTTCAGCGTTGGATCCATGCAAGCCGTGTGAAAGGTTGCAGAAGGAGAGTGTCCAAAGTATGTTCCCTTTCAAAAATCTGGGTTGACGCTAGATGATAGGGGAGTCCAAATTCCCAGTTGTCCAAATTTCAACCTTCGAACACACCTCGAAAGTGTTTTTGTCAGTATGATTTTTCTAAATAAAATTGTCTTGTCTTTGTCGAGGCCATTTCTAAACTCACAACCAACCAGAATATTTTATATCAGGAAAGGGAGCTACTACAGCTAACAGATGATCCCTGTATCAAGGTGGTGTTCTATGGGATGAGCTGCACCAAGTGCAAACACATAAACCATTCTGCTGAACGAAGCATGCATTGGCTGAAATACTGAAGTCGCAAATATCAACAAAGCTAGCTCCCTCAATAAGAAAAACTGACAGGAAATTTAGCCAGAAGCTGACACTCATGGAGTGGTTCGTTTAATTTTTATGGTTTGGTTCTTGGTGCCATTTAATTACTAGAAAAAAGAAATACATTCTGTTGAGAACACTATTCCAAGGTTCTATGTGTCCTTTCGTCATCTTAAGCTTAAGAATTTCTCACAACAGAGAAACTTTGCAAGGGGCCAGAACGACCGATGCTATGGGTGCCTCTGAGCATTGCAGGAGGCAGCAGTTTCTAATCGACCAGGGTTAGACGATCCACCTCTTCAAAAGCAAAATGGTGATGTAGCTGCCTTTGGAAGTCTCTTCTGTGGACGTCATAATGTTGCCATCTTCTTCCTTCAATAGGATAAAAGTGGAGTCAGCCCAGAAGACCAAGTGTCTCCCTAGTCTCACCTGTGTTCGCTCCCTGCAATAAGAAAATCGTAGCCCCAGCAAGCTGAAATCGTTTTGTCCTGCTGAATTTCTATGTGATTTTCTAATAAAAAACTTATTGTCTATCTGGCCCTGGGAATTCCATTTTAATATCACTTCTGGTTTCGCCACGATTCGAACCGGAAAAGAAAGGAACCTTAAGAGAATGCAATAACCAGAAAGACAGATAGCGAAACCATTGACTGAAATGGCAAAGCCAAGCATATGTATAACATGTCGCTGTGCCCGATATATTGGCTAGGGTTAGGGATGGTTCCGCTGTAGGTTTCTCGCCATAGCTTTTTCTCTCTCGGCCGCTTAGCCGATGCTTCTCCAACGACGGGCGCGTTGCAAGTCAAGGTAAGAAAAAAGCTAGGCTCAGGTGAAAAAAAAGACGAAAGAAGAGAGGCTCAGGTGAAAAAAAAGAGTGGCTCAGAATTATCTATCAGATTATCTGCCGCTTAGCTGGCTTCTCCAACTGCATTGAGCGCGACGGAAGAAAAAGCTAAGGTAGGAAAGAAGAGAGGCTCAGGTGAAAAAAAAGAGTGGCTCAGAATTATCTACCAGGTTATCTGTCATTTAATTCCTTCAGAGAGGAATTCCCAGATAGCATTTTTCATCATTGCCATCTGCCAAGAGAGTTGAACCTCGTACTACCTCCTCAGAAGCAGAACGAGCTAACGGCAGCTCAACGTTGGTGTTAACAAAATTTTGGTAAGTTAAAAAGAAGGAAAAATCCAACTCACCATCTATTTATTTTTTTTTGTAGAAAACTCGAGACGAGAGATTTTTCAAAAGGCTAAAATGCGAGCTCACGGGACTGGAGGTCAAAGGCAGTCCTCTTTTTCCTTCCCTAGAAGCCTGACGTTGCAATCGTTTACTGGCAGGGGGATCATGTACACGTTTTCCGCGGAGCGATCCTTGTATATGTTCTATGCGGGTGCGTACTTTGTTCTTCGAATCATCACTGGAGGTGCTGCTGCTCAAGCGGACCTCTGTTGGTATCTTCTTTTGAACAAGGGATGAGACTGCTCCATACCATATGATAGGTGCAGGGGGATTTGCAGCCATATGGTCCAAAGTGAGTTGTCGAGAATGGATCCTCAAAGACCTGAGAAAGGCCAAGGACCTCGTGAACTTGGTCAAACGTTCGAAAGACCAAGGATCCTCGCGATCAGTAGCACGAAAGAGTGGATCCACCGCGACCTTGTTTCCGCGTATGGTGAGCACTGGCGAGAAGAGCTGAAGGTGGCAGGACCTTCTTTCTGCTGGCACTCAGCTGCGATCCAAGAAATACCCCGACTCCCGCTGTATCCAGATGGCCAGGATTAGCAGCGAGCAAACCCGAAGATGTAATATATTATATTATTTTTCCAAAACTAATTAAGAATGCTGCGCTTGCAGTGAAGAGCTAATCTGAATCTCTTGAGACGCTGCTGCCACTCTCGCCACCGCCGCGGCTCCTCTGCTTGAGCTTCGCACACCCTGGACCGCGCTCGCACTCACAGCTCGTAGTCCCGAGATGGTAAACTCCGGTGATTGAAATTTTTTTCACAAACGTGGGCAAGTGACGTGGCAATCTTGGCTATGTGGCAAGTATTGATGTGCCACATCACTTGCCACATACACGCTCTCCCCTCGCGACGGAGCTGAGGTAGGCGGTCTCTTCTCGCGCTCATCTTACAAGGCTCCCGTCTTCAAGCCGGGATCTCAAGAAGCTCTTCGCGCTGCTGATATTACGGCTCAAATATTCCAGCGAGCTGGATCCCGTCGCTTCCGAGATCACGCTTGTGCCACGGAGCTAGAATCGTCAGAACTGGTAAGCTTTTCTTCTCGAAAAAAGATTATACGAAAGAGAGAAAGAACTCAGTTTTCTTCACAGGTCTTTGACGAATTGATTGGAGCCTTTAGTCTTTAGCCGGGAAATGGTGATGCGCCGAGAATTCATGGTCCCATACATGCTACTGTTTCCAAGGTTCTTCGGTGTCTCAACTTGTTTCGCTTTTTCTTCGGGCTTTTTATTCCAGGCTACCAGAGCGTTTGATAGTGAGGATGAAAGAGACATTCATCCCAAAGGTATTTTTCTGCTAGATTGTTTGGCTGGCGGGGCTTAATCTTTTTTTACTCAAGGTTTTGAAGCACCTCACCGAGTCGGATGGAGTTCTTCTCCTATACTGAAGCATTGGCTTCTATAGTTCAAATGGAGTTTGTCCCTCTCGTTGGGACTTCTGACCGAGCTAGATCTAACTGTATGTAGCTAACACTTTATGCTTTCTCGGTTTCCAGGAGCTGTTCAATCCATCGTTCAATTTCTTCGCAAGCAAGAGGCCCGAAGTGCAGCGGTAACAATGTTGGGGAGGACTGTGGAGCTTTGCCTACAACAGGTAGAATTAACATATGATAAATCCAGGTTTTTACATTTCTTTCCTTTTCTTCTAGCTTGTGACCTTACGACACTCACAGACTTGTGGGCTGCTGTTCACAACATCACCGAGGGGCATTTTGTGTAAGGAATGGGGGGAACATAAAAACTTTTCTGACTTTGTGACAGATTAAGCATGGGATGGAATCTCAGTCCTACTTCAGTTGTGTCTGCACCAAGGCCAGTCTATGAAACTCTAATGACACAGTCAGGCAAGAGCACTTAAAGTTCTTGTTGTAATCTCTTATCTCTTGAACAGGACTTTATGCCATGGACTCCTTTCATGGGGGATGATATTATATTATAATCAAAAAACTTATTTATATTTTATATATTTTTACAAAACAAATTGAGGTAATAAAATCTTTTTTTTTTGTGAGTGCTTCAGATATATAAATATGAATGGATGGACCAGATTCAATCCTAAATAGACAGTCCATATGCTTTAACACTACTATAATTAGTGTATTACTTAGGTAAGATAATATATGTATATACATGTATGTATTTACAAACTTTACACTATCTTCTCCTTCGGAAGATGAAAAGGTGATGATAATAAGTCAGGTGAAACATCAGGTAATTATAAATTACCACAAAAATTTGAAGCCCTCACAAAACTACCAATAAAATTGATGATAACTATGATTGAAATAAAACCCAAAGCCATGGCTTAAGCATCAACTGATTATGGAATCTCGGTAAACCAGTTGTAACTCCAAATACAACTTTCAAATACTCAAACCAACCATACAACCATAACTTTGAAATGAAATAAAGGACTTTAAAAGTTACTATAGATTATAAAGCACTATTGTAGTAAATAATACATCTCGTCTTTAAATTTGCATGTCTACAATCTTCCAAGACCACCATTAACTTAGACTTAAAACCATAAGTAAAACCATCATCTTTGTTTAACACCATATATGGAAGGTTGGACTCACTTTATTAATCCTTCACATCTTTTTTATCCCCTTCTTGAAAAAAAAAAGTTTTGAAGCACTAATTTTATTCAAACTCATTGCATTCATCCCCACTCCACCATCTATGTTTAGCCTCACTCCATTATTGTATTTATTCAGCCTCACTACATTGGGGCCGAATGTTCCATTTGTATTAACTATGCTCGTCCTCACTTTATAATTTATGTCATTTGTCCTCGCTTCATTACTATATTCACTCATCCTCACTCCATCGTCATGGCCAGACTCCCATTTGTCCCCTCTACCCCCTCCTCTAAAGAAATTTCTTTTTTAAGTGTTGAGGCAAAAAGGAGAATATGAGAAAAATTGAGGATATGGAAGGAAAAAAAGTGGATAAAGAAGTATCAGAAGAGGAATTTGCAGCAACTAGCAATGCAAAAATGGGGAAATTAAAAGGACATATGCTCAAAGCTTGGAAAAATACTTTAGATACCACAATATAAGGAAAAGATTCACACTGCTTAACCTTTTCAATATACAACTCAACACTTGAGATGAGAAAATTAATAATAACGTCCACACTCTCAAAGAAGTACATAAACTTCTCGTCACAAGAGAAACTAAATAACAAACTTCACTTAATTGCTTTCCGTAAGAACTGAATTATCCTTTTTTGGCACACCTCTTTTAACATAGTGTTCATAGCAAATGTAAGTGATCTTGAAAGTATACAATTGTCAGCAACAATAAAGGAAAAGCTTTTAGCGGCACTCACAACAAGGAACATGCATTCAATGTGAAACTTTAGCCAAAGTAATTCAACTTTTGGAACAAGGGAATACTCAACACTAGAATTGATCAAAAACTTTGTTAATGAAAGAAAGGCAAGATTCTCAACTTTATGGATACATTCAGACAGAAAACATTTGACTCAACATTAGACTCAAAATGAGAATCATGAGAGTCACAAATGATTGACATGCCAGGAGAAGAAAACATTGCAAATGAGGAAGAAATACTAGGAACATGAGAAGGTGGTTCAAGCCAAGAAATAAAAAAAGTTGGGAAAAAGCAAAAGGGAAAGAAAAAGGATCAAATGGCAAATTGAAAAATTGATACTTACCCCATGAAATCTCCATTTCATCTATCTCTATAATAATTAAGGTCATCATCACACTTTGGAATCCACTCAAGCTCGTACACATTGTCTTCCCATAATCTTGATCTTCGAACATTCTCCAAAAATTAAATTTAAGCATAACAATAGCTAAAATTCTAGATCTTACTTTAAGCTAATACAAATCTAGATCTAAAAGATAATGAAGAAATACAAATTAAAAAGCACAATCCCAAACACTAAAGTAAAGCACTGCCAAAAAGCTTTGCCCTTTAAGGACAAATTATCATGCCCCTCATTTTCACAAATATGAGTGCTCAGGATATAAGAATAGGTATATTAATTAAGGTTTAAACCCCTATTTATATACAATAATGGATAGACTAAATTCAATCCTAAATAGACAGTCCATATGCTTTAGTACTATAATTAGCATATTACCTAGCTTATATTTTTTAATTTATACCTATTAAGAATAAAAAAATTATATAATAAATTTAAGTTACTTAAACTAGCTACATATTTTAATAGGTTTAACTTTAACTAAATCTATAGAAAACATTACATGAATATCAATTATGAAACAAGATATAAATTGCTGTGCATTTCATGCAGTAACACCTGGTTTTCTTAATCCTATTTATTAATCCAATTAATCAAATGGAAGTTTATAATTATAAACATGTCCATAAATTATAAACACAATTGAATATCCACTATTAGATGGTAGAATAAACTGAATATACTAGAAAGTGTTTAGTAAAATTTATAAATTATAATCATTTTTATAAATATTAAATACAAGATTAATCTAAATGAATAATAGGTAGAATATTCTAGAATATTTAAGCATATTCTAGGTATATCCATTACCATCCCACTCCTTAACTTAAGCAAACCACCAATATTCTGACTATATTTTAAAAGTCTTAACTTATTGATAAATATGATAATTCAATTTAGAAGATGATCTTATTTGAACAAGATTTGGGTAAGTTATTTATAAAAGGCTAAAAAGGCAACTGTTCATGACAAATTGACTTTTTTATGCTTTAAATATAAAATGAGCTTAAGTTGTCAAATTTTGTATATTTGAGTTGAAAAAACACATCTATCATCTTTCTTTATCTTAATTATCATAAATCATTTATATTAGGCCAATAGCTGAAATTCAAAATATGAAAAGTGCTGTCAAGGATCATGACGTGGAAAGTTTTAGCCAAGACTTCTACATTCTGAGTTGCTCAAATGGCAAAAGCCATATGGTATATTCTTAATGTGCATGTCCATCTCAAAAGTTCATTTCTGATCATGATCCATCCAGGGAAGAGATTTGTTTTCTGGTGGGGAACTGGGCCAAAGATCAGTCTTTGAGCCCGAGATAGTAAGGGAGGTTTTGTCTAAGAAGTTTTCTCAATTTCATAAATTAGAGGTGGTGATGTGGTTGGCAAAGTTGTTCCTTGGTAATGGATTGGTTTCTGTGGGGATGGTCTAAAGCTGAGTTGAGGTTAACTCAACATAAGTCAATGTAAATCAATATAGTCAACCATAACTCTTACAAAGAAAATCTATGTTAGAAAAATTAAGGTTTTGACAAACTTTAAAATATTAAAATATGTAAACACCTAGGTCAAAAGTTTCTGAGTTATTTAAAAAAGACAAAGTTCATGAAAACCTATTTATTTTCTTATTACAGTTTGATTTTCTTGCAATTCATTAAAAAACCTAAATATGAATCAAAATAAATTTGTTTGAAGGGTAGCCATTAATAGTGTATATTGGTCAAGGCAATATACTATTCATTCATTCTAGGGTTCTTAAGTAAAATAAAAATTCTGTAAGTAAGAGTTATAGGGCGAAAATGTTAATTTTGTTTCATTGCCACAATCTTTTAGTCTTTATTACCCATTTGGGAATGTAAAAAACATTGTCGTTATTGATAAAAATACTCAAGTTACTTTCAAAACAATAGTCTAGAACAAAATAAATGAAAAAATAAACATAGCAAGAAAAAACTAACAAATCTACTCTATAGAGCTTTCTATAGCATTTATATTTTATATATTAATTCATATTAAAAAACTCCACTTGCTTGCCTATAGTGCAATCCTCCTATATGAAAAGACCAAGGTATATTTTTGGGCACTAAGATTTTTCAAGAGTCGTTTATAATAATAGAAATCAAAATCTTTTGAAAGATTCAAAAGTAATATCACATCAAAAAGTCAAGTTTATCTATATTTCGAAGATTGAAATGTAATCTCACATGAGAGAATGCATGTGGGCTTACATGCTTGTGTGCTCTACTATTATTATATGGTCTATATTTCTATGTAGTCTATTTTTCTAGAAAGTTGGCATAATTGTAAAATAGAATATATATATATAGTGGAACAGATGGTTATTAGAATGATAAATATTCTAGTATGTGTATCTAGAATTCTAGAAGCTCTTCTTTTCACAAGTAGACTATGATTATGAAATCTCATTTATGAGATTGACATTTCAAGAATTTGAGTATTATTATTGTCATAATAAATAAACCTCATTCCCAAGACTAAAAATTAATATATAAATTGCCAAGAAAAGTTAGTCATTATAGTATGTTTATTATTCTTATTCTCCTTGGAAAGCTAAAAAGCTTAATATAGGAATAGCTCAAAGGAAAGTCACTATTACTCGTACTTGGGTCCTTAGCATCTCATATCACTTTCCACCTCCATCCCCAAGTAATATTAATATTCCACCTTCATCTCTACTGTAACCACATTACAATCCTCTTTTTATGAGGGCTCTTGTGAAGTCAAACTAATGCAAAATTTTGAATATTATTATTAGAGAGGGATTACCTCAAATGCTTCAAGAGCAGTGCTACATGTTTTTGCAAGATCTTGCTCTGGGTATGGCAAGACTACTTGACAGTACAAAATATTATTATATTCAATATTTAATATGCTAGTCTTTTTTGGACAAGACAAATGTCTTTATAGGTTTACAAACTTTTCTTGAGCACTATAGCAATTACCCAACAATGGGTCTAAAAAGTGTGGATGTACAACAGATTCAAGAAAAATTTATGAATCTATACCCAGAATATAGGCTTTTTAAGGTATCTTATAGTGGAATGTAAGATCTAGAATTTCTTTACTATACTATCGTATTGTACTTTTAAAAGAATATATATATAAGGAAATGATATTAGTTGTAGGGAGCATACTCACTAGAATATCTATATTATATTCCTACCTATACTATCTGCACTATAAAATGATCATAACAAATAAGGTATTAGAAGTGAAGAATTCAATTTAGGTATGGCTTGAAAGAAGAAAATGTGTAAACTCTCCTGCCAGCCTCCAATATTGCTCAACAATCATCCTTCATATCCCCATTCCTCCCTTGGCATTATTAATTTTGAATTATCCCTTCATTCTAACCTCTTCATAGAAATAGATTTCCAATATATCATTTTTTAGATGTGGATGACAAAGTCAATGATAGGGAGTCTCCTCAACTTAAAGTCTACTACACCCAATCCATAGAAGAGTTCACTTTTGATTTAGTGGGAACTAATGAACACATTGAGAATTTGATTCTAAGATGCCTAATATGCTTTTTTTTCTTGGGTTTGGGCTTTTATAGTTTTCTTGAGCACTACCGCAACTACTACATAAATGGTATTATCACTTTATATATAATTGTTGACAAGATAATGAAGGATGAGACAATAACACACAAGCATTACAAACTGATGGTTGCATGGGAAAATACCAATTTGCAATTATGATATATGATATTAATATTGATAATTAACAATGACACTATTACTAAAATTTTATTATATGACAGGATTTTCTTTTCAAGTAAGGATTTATTCAACTTTTTTCTATCTCATCATCAACATTTATGCCTCCTTCTATATTGGGATTGTGCTCACTTTGCATTTGCTGAGCCATAGCTTTTGCATACTTTGGGAGACTTTTAAAACCTCTAACTTTAAAAATTCCAAGTGACTGTGATCTATAAAATAAAACTAAATATGTATTGAAATTTTAATAAACATAATTTACCTCCTTGAGGTTAGAGGCAGCTCTAACCCAGTTTTTGAAGAAATGATATTTTTCAATAACAAATACCGATCTACCAAAGTCATATACTACTTTTACTATAGAACCATTACTTATGCAATCAATCACAATACTATCTAGTGGGTAGTAGAGTTCAAACAAGATTTGTATTGTTGATGGAGTTCAAAATCAATACCTAGGAAACATCTACTCAACCACAAGATTAGGTATGATGCAGTGGCATTGTTGTACCCAAGCACAACATGTGCTACACACTTGCTATATAAAAACTTGCTATTGTGTTTTTGTAGAAGGTATGTTAGATCCACATTATAACCTAGAAAATAAATATTTGCCTTGGACACTCTTAGTATCAACACCAATAAGATTCATAATGCATTTGGAAGAGAATGACTTAAAACAAACTTGCACTACACACATCATAAGCTCATATACTCAATTGGGTTGTTCAGCAAGATGAAGATGACATAGCTAACTTTGAGCAGAAAGGCTTTCAACAAGGAGAACATATCACACATGTTGAGAAAGTTCTAGTTTTTAAATTTCCCATCAATATTTAAAAGATTATCCAGAAAGTTGGAGGGAATGAAGTTTGCAACTAGGAGCAATGGCCTTTATATCTTTTAGCACCAACAGTCAAATTGACACCTTATATCCACGAGAGGAATAAATGATAGTATAACTCTTGATATTCACAACTAAAATAATAAAACACCTCTTCATATGGTTGTCTTAACATGAATATTACACAATATGGTCAACCCCAAAACACTACTAAGACTCTCTAAATTGCATCAATGTCCACAAACAAAAGTTCCAAAAGGACTAATATATACATGATAGAATATACCTAACTTGAGTGGCTTAGAAATGTTGGGATTTACATGTGTCAGCAAGTTTCTGATGCAAATATTAAACCAACTAGCTGATTCCACTTGTAATCAATACATCTTCAACACCTCATTTAACATAGCAACCCCACCAACATATCCCCAAAAAGACCATTAAATGTTAGTTGAATAGTGGTTTGCATGCCTGTGATATGTAAAAAACATTAAGAGATGTGGGATCTATGAGTGAGCATATCGTGAGAATGGTGTTGGACAAATAAATTGATGAAGCACTTTGAGCCACAATCCAATTCTACATCAAGTGCTACATGCCTGTGTGATCTTGAGCAAGCCTCTTGGTCAGCTCAGACTCAAATCTACAAGAAAAACAATCACTCTTCCATGTCAATAGATCAACAAAAACTCATACTTACAAGAGAATCTATGGTAGAAGAGAGGTATCTTTGAGGCTTATACAATAATCAACCCAAGCTAATCTTATTTATATTCCACAGGAAACTTTATTTTGATTAAAAATAAAGAAGAAATAACACATTATGGTACAAGAGGAAGGAGGGAAAGTCAAAATTACTGCAACAAAGGAATCAGCAATATTCCCAAGGTGACCTCTATTGCAAACCATAACCTTTGTAATAACCCCCCGACTGACAGCCAGCCTCGATCAAGTGCTTGTCTTCCAAGTCATATACTACTAACATTCTGCCCAACATACTGTCGTACTCATTACTTTGCCAAATGCATATGTATCGGCCACCTGAGTTTGCATAAAAGAAATCATAGCCCAAGCGTGTTGTTCCGTGACAATAACTGAGATGTGAATCCAGGCTTTGCCATTCGTCTTGTTCCCACCATAAAACCTCAAATGTTGACTTAACATGTACTTTCGAGTTCAAAACTATGGCAAAGGTTTTTCCCTTGTAGACATGGAAGCCCACCCAGTTCCGGTGGTACTGCCACGGTGTCAGAGAGAAAGGATCACTCATGGGAGATGCATTGGTGTGCTTGAATCTGGAAACGGCATCATCAGTTGTGGAATCAAGATGTTCCCATGAACCTGTGACAGAAGAGAAGAGCCACTTTTGATTCTTCAAGATGAATGCTTCAACCCCTTGCTCTGCGTCCATCTGCACCTCAAACTCATCTTGTGGCCACCCCTTAGTCCCGGGAGCTAGGCGTTTTCACAAGCTCCAGCGGGATTCTCAGGCGCTGTCCATCACAGGGGCTCCATGCCAAGACGTCGGTCAACAAGCACCCACGTCTTGCTGCTTGACAACTCCTGTTCTATGCTTTGCACCAGTTTCATTCTATCCACCTCCTCCACGTCTTGTATCTCTTGTAACCCTAATTTTCTGAACAACCCCCCTTTTTCTCGATCATACAGTAAAAGGATGTCTTGAGAATATTCATTAATTTATTTTAACACAATAAAATCAATATAATTTAAAAACGAAACGAATAAGAGTTAAAATTCCTATTATTCGAAATTTTCATTTTCATGGCTTCCTGACCTCCCCAGACTTGGTCACGAACCTGGCTGCGCTCCTCATGGTCACAAACTCCTCCGCAGCGGTGGGATGAATCCCCACCGTGGAGTCGAACTGCGCCTTGGTGGCGCCGCCCTTGAGCGCCACACCAATCCCCTGCATGATCTCGGGGGCGTCCGGCCCACACATCGCAACCCCCAGCACTCGATCATCGCCCGTGTCCACCAGCAGCTTCATCACCGACTTCTCCTGCCTCCCGGATATGGTGTTCTTCATGGGCGTGAAGCTGGAGCTATACACCGCCACCTCCCCCTTGGCGGCCTTCACCGCCTCCTCCTCGGACAGCCCCACCACCGCCAGCGGCGGCTGGCAAAACACCGCCCGCGCAACGTTCTCGTGGTCGGGCTTGGTCGCCTGCCCGCCAAACGCCGTCTTTGCGAAGCACGTCCCCTCCATGAGTGCCACCGGCGTGAGATTGATCCTGTTGGTCACGTCCCCGATCGCCCAGATGCTGGGAACGCTGCTGCGCGAGTACTCGTCCACCTTGATCGCTCCCGACTTGTCCAGCTCCACGCCCAGCTCCTCCAGATTCAAGCCGCTCGTCTTGGGCTTCCTCCCCACCGCGAAGAGCACCGCGTCGGTTATGATCTCGCCACCGTTGTCAATCGAGACCTTGAGCTCGCCGCCAACTTTCTCGATCTTGGTCACGTTGGTATCCGGGCGGAGATGGACGCCCCGGTTCTCCAAGTTCCTGGCCACCACGGCGCGCATCTCGTCGTCGAATCCACGCAGCGGCGTCTTCTTCCTGAAGAGGAGCTCCACTTTGCTCCCCATCCCGGAGTAGATCCCCGCGAACTCCACCGCGATGTAGCCGCCGCCGACGATCACGCAGCGCCGCGGGAGCTCGTCCAGATTGAGCCCCTCGTCCGAGGTGATGGCCAGCTCCTTCCCCGGGACGTTCAAGCGGACCGCGCGGCTCCCAGTCGCGACGAGGATGTGCTTGGCGCGGTACCTCTTGCTGGAGCCATCGCTGTGAGAGACCTCCACAGTGTGATCATCCACCAAGCTCGCTCTTCCCTCGAGGATCGTCACCCCGGACCCGGTGAGCAGCCTCTTGTAGATCCCGTTGAGCCTCTCGATCTCTCTGTCCTTGTTGGCGATCAATCGCTTCCACTCGAAGGTGATGCCGTCGGGGACGTTCCAGCCAAAGTTCTTGGAGTCCTGGAACTCGGCGCTAAACATGGAGGCGTAGACGAGGATCTTCTTGGGGACGCAGCCGCGGATGACGCACGTCCCTCCCACGCCGCCGGCGCTCTCCGAGCTTACGTGCGCGAATGGGAGCTCAACCACGGCTACCTTGGCGCCGAAATTCGCCGCGGTGCGGGACGCGCGGACTCCGCCGCTACCAGCGCCGATGGTGAAGAGATCGAAATCAAACGCCTCCTCCGGCGCCGCGGTGGCGCCATTCTCTGCCATGGCGATCGATCTTCCTGCAAGGCAACGGATTTTGCTTCCGGAGATTGGCGCAATCGATCACTCACCTGGTCAGATTTCGAGAATAGGAAGAATGTAGGGCGCCCTACACCCAAAAAGAAGGAAACCTAAACTAAATGTAAGAGGGATATTCGCCGAATCGCCATGCGTCAAATATTCGTGGCTGGACATTTTCGATTGGGGACAAATTATTGGAAATCACATGGATGTTTCTCCAGTAGAAACATGGCCGCTTCGTAGCGCTCCAAATGTACGATACTTTTTCCCCCGCGACGTCATTTTCACGTGTGTGATATTTTTTTAAAAACTTCCCGGGCGAAGAGAGTTTGACTCGATCGAAGATCGTGGCACGAGCTCTTCCTAGAGTTCGTGCGCGCAAGATCGAGAAGTGCTGCGATCGATTTCTATTAGGGTTCTACACGAAATCGATCGTTGATGATGAGGAGTGTGATCGCGTGTCTTCTTCTCTGCGCCACTCTTCTCGTGTCTGTGGATCATGGGAGAGCGGCATCGCCCAAAAGCTTGAAGAAGCGGGCCACGAACGCCGCGAAGGATATCTACAACGCCGGCGGGTGGAAGCAGGCGTTCGCGACGTTCTATGGCGATGAAACAGCGAGGGAGACAATGGGTAAAGAAGAAACTTTCGAGATCATATTTAAATTTGCGCAGGTGGAGCTTGCGGCTATGGCAATTTGTACCAATCCGGCTATGGATTGATGACGGCGGCGCTGAGCAGTACGCTCTTCAACAGCGGCTATGGCTGCGGGCAGTGCTACGAGATCACTTGCACGCTATCGAAGCACTGCTACTTCGGAAAATCCGTGGTGGTGACCGCCACAAATCTTTGCCCGCCCAATTGGAGCAAGCCCTCGAACAATGGCGGCTGGTGCAATCCACCGCGCGTCCATTTCGACATGTCCAAGCCGGCATTCATGAAAATCGCGTTTTGGCGGGCGGGAATCATCCCAGTCTCCTATCGAAGGTGAGAGAAGAAAAACGCGCGAGATTTTAGGGTTCTTCAGCTAAAAGTTTGAAAACTTTCCTGCCAGGGTGCCATGCGCGCGATCCGGCGGCATGAATTTCAAGCTGAGCGGCAATCGCTGGTGGCTCATGGTGTTCATCACAAATGTGGGCGGCTCCGGCGATATCAAGGCGGTGTCGGTGAAGGGATCGAGGACGGGATGGATCGCCATGACGCGGAATTGGGGCGTAGGGTTCCAAGTTTTCAAGCAGCTCCAGGGCCAAAGTCTCTCGTTCATGGTCACTTGCTACAGTACCGGCAAGACCACCGTGCACAACAATGTGGCGCCCGCGAATTGGCAGCTCGGCAGCACCTATTCCGCCAAGCAATTGTGAGAAGTTTTGAAAGAATAGGGGGCAATTTCTCAAGAACCCTAAGTTTTCATTTTTCGCGATTTTAGGGTTTTTGGAAAGACAATGTGGATTTGCCCCTGGGAGCCATCCTACCACTACGGTCGCATTTGAGGCTCTAGGTTTGTGGGGAGTGGGAAATGGAGACGCAGCAGCTCCTGGATGCCCTGACGGATCATATGGCCGTCTATCACTGCCGGAAGAGGCAGCTAGAGCGGCAGCAATCTTCGTCTTCCGGTAAGAGTGATAGGCACAGGGTCGTGGAATGGCTCGCTCGATTGAGCGTTAAAGAGCGGCAGATTGCTTGCACGATCGTGGACGAAGCGTGGGTGGCCTTACTCCTCCAAATGCAGAAGGCTTTGGAGTCGGAGGGCCCCGGATTCTTCTTCGTGCTCCCGGATTTTCCTTCGGCCGCCAAAGATCGGCAGCAAAATGCGAACTTGTCCAAAAGTTCTCCTCCACTTCCGGGGCTGTGCTTCCGGAAAGCCAGGGGTCTTCTTAAGAGACAGAGCTCTAACGGGGAGCTTCTCGCTACGAGCTTGCGACTCTACAGCTCCCGCGTCGGGGAAGCTTGCAAGGATTTAGCTGAGAGTAGAAGGCTATCGTCGCTGGATAGCGTGACGGTGAGCTACGAGCTTCTCGAGAATGTGGAGCGGCTGGTGGGAGTTATGGACGAGATCTCTTACGGGGAGTTTCTAGCGACGCAGTGTTTGTCGGGTGGTTCTCCGTGGGAAGAAACTCCATGGCTCAAACGCGTGGGATACTACAGCCTGTCAGCCTTCGTCGCGAACAAGCTGGAGATCTCGCTATGGTCGGCCTGGATCACTGCTCTTGGGACCAAGCAGCCATCCAAGTCGCTTTCCCGGTCCCTTGCGCGTTGTGCGTTTGAGACGACCACCACTTCTTCGAAAGTTTGTACCAGGAGACAAGGATTTGAGCAGTGGTGGAGCACTCTTGACGCGAACGACAGGCGAAAAGCTTGCGATTTTGCGCTTGCCAAGCTCTCCACCGACGAGGTAGGAATTTTCGTGTGGTTCTTATCATAACTTTGTAAGACGCCCAGGCGCTCATGGTCCAAGAGCAAAGAAGTTTGCGACTTCCGGATGGTGGTACTGTATGCGACAAACAATTCGGAAGGCTCTGCTCAGGCATCCAGTTTTTAAACGACTTGAGATGGACTCTGAGCGAGCGAGTTGTTTACTCGTCTCTTCACGAAGCTCACAGTCACTCGGAGTTGGCTCTTCAAGTTTTGAGAAACACACTGATGAAGGTGATGAAGGATTATATGGAGTACGATCTTCTTGACCATGGGAACAAAGGCGTTCCTAGGGAAAACTCAGTAGCCAAGAAGATTCAGGTCAAAGCTCGAAAGAGTAAAAGCAAGAAGCAGAAGAAAAACGTGACTGCTACTCACAGAAGCGATCCCGTTGAAGACGAGAGCGCACAGCCGGACAATATGGTACAGCACGATGGCTTTTCTGAAAGAAAATTTGATCGTGAAACTTCTACTGGCAGGATCGGATCGGAGAAACTGCAAAAGACATGGCCGCACTCCATGTCAGTGAACAGTGCCAAGACTCTGGCTGGGTTCCGGGAAAAAGGAAGAAGAGAAACAAGAAAGTCAAGCATGACGCTGCAGAAACATCAGGAAAACAGACGTGTATTCCTTCTGGAGCGAAGAACACGGAAAAAGCTCAAGGTGTGGAAAACTTCTTGAGCAAAGCTAGCAGTGAAGAGGAAAGCTCTACTATTGCTGCTACAGAAGGGGTGACGACAGTAGACATGGCAAAACAGGAGCTTGAGCCGACGACGGAGCGTTCAAGCCAACACCAGAGTGTTCCTTTCCACCTGAAGAACAACCAGGCATATCATCCGCCACCGCCCGTCATGTCTTCCTCGCACGAGTGGCCTGGAGCACCACAAAGTCGCTTCTCAGATTCGTGCGGTCGACCACTAGCCACTGAGTGGCTACATTTGGACGTGAACAGAGACTGGCACCGCTCCAAGCCACCTTTGATTGCTTATACTCCTCGGCAAAACGGACAAGTGGACTCCAGAGTGCAAAGAAGCCTTCTCTCGAAAGCGGCAAACGTTAGCTGGGACTGGCCACCGATGGTTCAACCGGGCTTTGGGATCGCATCGCCGTTCGGGTTTACAACACAAGTCAAAGACGAGCCTCCGGGCTTTGTTTCGGTTCCACTGGCTACGATTGTGACGACGGGTGATGGTGGCGACGGTGACCAAACAGCTGCGGATGATACTGACCGCGAGGATTTACATGGAGGTGGAGACTCCGACGATTATCTGTGCCGGACCTCCGAAGGCGAGGGTGATCCTAGACAACTCTACGACACGGACTATAACCAGTTTTTCGGCGGAGGAGTAATGTATTGGACTTCGGCAGATTACACTGGCATGGGATACTCTCGGCCTGGATCTCTCAGCTCCGAAGACAGTAGCTGGGCTCGCCGTGAGGCTGACTTAACCATCGTCGTGGACGACATTGTTGGACTTCCGCCGATAGCTGCCTCTTACTCGGGTTTAAGTTCCGGTCCGTCAACCGTGGCATGTACCTCGTCATCTTCCGGGTCGCTGGACCATTTTGCCGAAGCTCAGAGTAGTGCTGAGGCCGTGATGTTTCCGGAGCACATCCCGCCGCCAGCTCTTCCGCCTATTGCTGTGCGGGAGCCAAAGAATTCCAAGCTGGACAGCTCGAAGTGTCACGAGGCAAGAAGTCCTCACGAACCTCGCGGGCGCAGGGATTTTGTCCGGTGCAAGCGTTCTCCGTCGCCGGTTCTTCGCTGTGTTCCGCCGGCTCCACCGCCACCTCCGCCGTCTCCTATTGCTGGTGTGAGAAAACGGCGAGGATTTCCTACTGTTCGTTCGGGAAGCTCTAGTCCACGGCATTGGGGAGTTTTCAACTGGCCTGACAACCAGCTCAAGTCCTTAACTCCCGAGGGAATTCTGCCAGCGAACGGATGGAGGAGGTGCTTTCCTACGGCAGCAATGCATCCGTTACTCCGGGAGAGACTTGTTGCGATTCCCCCTCGGGCCTTGGAGCAAGAACATGTAAGTCGGCAACAATTTCCATTTACTATCTGACTCTATTTGTCTTGCAGCCAGACGTCGCGTTTCCCATGCAAACGACTTTGCTGCACAAGCAATATCCAGCAATGCCCACTGTCTTGGCCAGGCTTCACAAAGAGATCGAGGCTTTTTCCTTACAGGTAGCGTTATCTATGCAAATGCCGATAGTTATATTTATGCAGTGCTATCCAACAGGTTGCGGCTGAGAATGCCAAGCGGAAGCCCTTCATTACTATTGCGGTGAAGAAAGTCACGCATGCGCTACAGGTTCTCTGGCCCCGGTCACGGACCAAGGTTTTTGGTTCAAATGCCACTGGCCTCGCTCTTCCCAACAGCGATGTTGATCTAGTCGTGTGCCTGCCTCCCGTGAGAAATCTCGTGAGTAGCACCACCTAAAGTTTTTATACACTGCTAACTCGTTGTTATGGACTTCAGGAACCCATCAAGGAAGCCGGGATACTAGAAGGGCGTAACGGAATAAAAGAGACATGCTTGCAAGTGAGTGTCTATGTATTTTGCTAGATGTGAACTCCAAACTGACACGACTTCACAGCATGCAGCTCGATATCTTGCTGACCAGGATTGGGTGAAGAGTGATTCCCTCAAGACGATCGAAAACACAACAGTAAGCTTTATCTAGGACTATCCAACGTGATTGTTTTTCTCTTTCAGATACCGATAATCATGCTGGTGGCAAAGTGCTTTCCCGATAGTGTTCTTCCTATTCAATATGCAAGTGACGGGGAGGCCACTGGACAACATTGGGGAACAAAGGAAGACCGTCATCTTGTTCGTCTTGACATCAGTTTTGAGTCAGCGTCGCACTCTGGGCTGCTTACGGCTGAGCTTGTAAGTTTTTTCTTTTGCATTTGCAATCTATTCTAAATCTTGGGAGTTCCAGGTTAAAGAACTTGTCAGCCAGTTTCCTGCAATCAGTCCGCTGGCATTGGTACTGAAGCAGTTCTTGATGGACCGAGGCTTAGACCACCCGTATACAGGCGGCTTGAGTTCGTATTGTCTGGTATAATCAAGCTAGTGAGTGGGCTGGTCTCTAATATATTATATGCAGGTGTTACTCATCACAAGATTTCTTCAACACCAAAACCATCTCGGACGACCTTCACAAGCGCAGGTTTTCACAATCATGCACGACTGAAACATCTGAAATCTTTCTTGTTTCTTTTTCTTTGGCAGAGCTTGGGAAGCTTGCTTATGGATTTCCTGCATTTCTATGGGTAAGTGTGTTTTTGCAAGGCGTCCTTGCAAGTAGTGACCGTAGTTGACAGGTGTGTTTTTGATCCGCGAAGAATGTGCATCTCCATTCGAGGGGGTGGCATGTACGTGAATAGGGACCGACTTCATGGGTATGAAATGTTTTCTTTATGTGTTTTTCGATTGACAAGTTGTGTTTAAATGACAGAATTGATCCACTTCACATCGAAGATCCGCTGCATTCTATGAACAACGTCGGTCGCAATTGTTTCCGCATTTTGCAGTGCACAAAGGTCCGGTTTGTCCCTTCGTAAAATCTATCCGATCTTTTGACTGTTTTGGGTCCCACAGGCGTTTGCAGATGCTTATGTAACAATGGAGAAGGAGCTCGTCTCTAGCACAAGCAATTCATCGCTGCTGTCGAGGATTTTGCTGAGCATCGTGTGACCCATACGTCGTGTACATTAGTCACTGGCGCTTGTGAACTACACGGTACATATTTTCTCGAAAGGTAGTCCAATCTTTTACGTGGTTTTCTTGCTGACAGTGTGTATGGACTAGGCTTATGTATTTGTGAGTACTTTTGGAACGTCAGGATTCTTTGCAAGACGTAAGAACATCAAGAAGCTCAGCGTAAGTTGCTGACCACAAGAACTATTGTAACTTTGTTATGAGACTTTTTCCCTGCAGCCTTCCGCGTGCAGTACTGCGAGAGATCTACATAACGCGTAAGTAGGCTGAGCTTCGATGGGAGATTTCTTTTTTCACATGGTTTGCAAATCATCTCATGGACTGCCATAGCCGTGTCTCGAGCCAGTGCCGAAAGCCGCTCAAGGCAGCCATCATTTGGTTTGGATGCGATGGACAAAGGCTTGGGGTGTTGATGACTTCTTCGCAAACCTGGTGACTTACTCTTGCGAGAGAGGACTCGTCAGGTATTGTCCTGTGGTTATTACTAGTTTATCCTTTACCAGCGTGCTTTCAGGGAACTCGTGACGAGATGTATGATATGCCTAGACAGAGGTAACATTGAGAGAAAGAAAGAGTAAAGAAGTAAAAACACAGAATTCGTTTTCGGGAGAAAGAACTTATATTTCACGAGATCGATGTTGTGAAGTTCGAAGATAGATCCTTTCTTTTTGTGACATAATATTCTGGATTGCAAAGCACAAAGAACTGTGTATATACTTCTTTGTATAGATCTCTTGGCTTTTACAGAAGATACGAAGACGCTCTTTTCTTAGCGCGCTAAACTGCGCTGGAAACATCAAATTCGTTCCGTCATCGAGCGGCTTTAACCTTCTTGTGATGCAATTGTTGGTTTTTAAGACCTGCGAGAGCATGGAAAAAACTTGAGTGGTAAAAGAATCTATAAACTTGAACTCATGCATGGAAGTCGATGTCGATCACTCCAGCATCTGGATTTGCGAGCTTCTCAAATGCTTCCTTGGATAGATCAAAGGCTCCAGGACAGCCGGGACACAAATCCACCACCACCACTCGGATGCTTTTGTGGCCTTTGCAAGAGCTCCCTACGCAACGTATGGTGAAGTGCTTCCCACAAGCCCTTTTGGCCTGGAAGATGCTGGGAGCTGCCGCCACGAAGAGGAAATCCGAGGGAAGAGGAGCTAATCCATGGCATGAAGAAGCTTTCACATTACAAGCATCAAATATTGTGTGATTAGAGTTGAGTTCTCTATCAAGGCTAAAACTCACGATAATAGGCGTCATAGAATGTGGCCGTGCTATGGATTTGTAAGCTGGGAACTGCGAGAAGCAATGCCACAAGTACGGGAATCCATACCTTTGATTGCCTTGCCATTGTAAGAAAAGAAAAGAACGAAAATAAAGAAAATGTAAGATTTTTTCTACGTTAAATTATGGTATGCTTGTGGATATGTTGAGCGCTGTTTTTATAGCCAGATTGCAAAGCGATCACGCCAATTACAAAGACAAAAGGTGTAGCTGTGGACATTTCCTGGATGTATGGGAAAGGGCTAAATCATGTTGGCCTCATTCAATTTGTTTCAAATAGAAATTTTGGTTCCTCAATCAAACAAAACCAATGATTTTTTAAAAAAAAATCTTAATAGCTGTACTGCTGGAGCTTATAGTATATAGAGTACAGTCCGTTAAGCTCTATACAACAAATGAAGGCTGTTTTAGTGTTGTTTGTAGTGTTTGCCTTTGCCACTCTCTATCTTTGCTTTTGTCTTGGATAATGGTATTTCAGTGAACCTCAGTCACCTAAAAATTATCTTCACAACAACTTTCTATCAAAAGCTACCGAGCGAAGCTTGTCACCTCCATAAAATTGGAGTTTTGTCAAAAGCCATTGCTGCTGTTGAACCAATACTGAAATACTAGCGCAATAAAAATAACAAGCATGAAAACATAAGCGATTGTGGCTAGCCCACAAAACCTATGGCAACACAAATCAATCCATGGCTGCTCAGATTTATAGATTATGAGTAACGAAGGATTATATCGACCTGTTAGGATATATCACTCGCCTGAGATATGTTTATATTGGGACGACCACATAAAATGGAAAGCAAGTGATTTAGGGTTTAAGGAAGAATGCTGGCGAGAATCGCTTGCAGCGGGCCAAGCATCCCAATGTCGATGGCGCCGGCCACACCAGCGGCGGGATGCGGTTTCATCCGGAAGCACTTGCTGGATTTGGCGCCTTACAAGCCGATCGAGCCGTTCGAGGTATGATTCTTCCTCTTGCGTCCCGAATTCTCCTCTCCTGTGAATGTAGGTGCTGTCTGCCAAGCTTGGAAGGTCTCCAAAAGAGATCGTGAAGCTGGATGCCAACGAGAACCTCTACGGGCCTCCACCAGAAGTATGTAGATTGAGAGCCTTAGAATTTTTTCCCCTTCTTCTTTTTCTAGTCCTTGTTTGTTTGACACAGGTGATGGAATCCTTGGGAGGAATGGACTTTCCAAACATTTATCCAGATCCAGAGAGCAGGCGGCTTCGAGCAGCTCTTTCAGAAGACTCGGGACTGTCTATGGATTACATTCTTGCTGGCTGCGGTGCCGACGAGCTCATCGATTTGATCATGCGGTAAGTGAACGACTCCTAGCGTGCTTTTTTTTTTCTTTTGCTCTTCACGAGATGGTTCTTCATCTCTTTAGTTGTACATTGGAAGTTGGTGACAAGATTGTGGATTGTCCTCCCACTTTCACAATGTATGCGTTTGATGCCGCTGTCAACGGAGCAAGCGTCATCAAAGGTCTTGTTTGCGATTCAAGTTCCTTTAGTCTGTTCTTTGCTAAAGCTTCTATAGTTCCGAGGTTTCATGACTTCCGCATCGATGTTCCTGGTATCGTGCAGGCAGTGAAGGAGCACTCTCCAAAGCTGATCTTTTTGACATCGCCAAACAATCCAGACGGGAGGTAAGTAAGAAAATCCTGTATGTCAAGTACATGTTTTGGCTCTATTTTTTCTTCAGTTTAATAACCGATGAGGATCTCATGGCCGTTCTTGCTCTACCACTTCTCGTTGTTCTGGATGAAGCATATATTGAATTTGCAGACCAACCTTCCCGGATGAAATGGGTTCAGGACTACGACAACCTCATCATTCTTCGGACTTTTAGCAAGCGTGCCGGTAAGTAACCCGGAAATAAAATCTTCCGACAAAGTGTTTGTGGTTTTTCAGGACTGGCTGGATTGCGCGTTGGATATGGTGCCTTTCCATTGAATCTCATCCAGTACTTATGGAGAGCAAAACAACCGTATAACGTGTCCGCCGCGGCAGAAGTAGCTGCCTGTGCTGCTCTAAAAAATTCCTCTTACCTCGAGGTATGATCTCCATGCTCTAGTTTTATCTGTTTTTACGATTCTCAAGCTTCTTTACTCCAGGAGGTGAAGAGATCTCTGATACAGGAGAGAGACAGGCTGTTTGAGCTCCTCCAGACAGTGCAATACTTGTCACCATATCCAAGCTGCTCCAATTTTATTCTTTGTTCCGTCTCTGGCAACCGCAGCGCCAAGGAGCTCAAGGTAGACAGTATTTTCAAAGTGAAAAAGAAAGCATTTGGCTCAGTATTGTAAGTGCAGGATGGATTAGCAAAAATGGGAGTGATGGTTCGCCATTATGATAACGCGGAGCTCAGGAACTACATCCGAATCTCGGTTGGAAAGCCAGAGCACACGGACGTTCTCATGAATGCTCTGAAAGCATTTGCTTAATATTTTTGTGACCTCCAAAACACTCATATCATGGAGTGTAAGAGGTTAATGTTCTCTTGATTTTTGTTAAATTTATAGACTTTTAATTACATTGGCTAGCCAAGGAGCAAAAGAGTGTCGATTTTGCTCGGTCTTTTGAAGAATAATTTTTTAGCAGTAATGATTAATTTATAATATAAATAAAAATTACTAAAATGGATTTTTAAAAAGTATACTTTTATGTAATTTATATTTTGTGTCCGTTTTGATTTGTATATTATGGCTATTATGAATTTTTTAATTGTGTTATACAAGCTTCTGGTAAAGAAAATGATAGAGCAAAAAACTGAATTCCCTAATCTACAAAACAACCGTATAATTGTCAAATTCTTGCTAGAAATCCAGCGCTTCTAGCATTACAATGACTGGATAAGTTGACCACTGACATAAGGCACCCCAACTAGAATCCAATAAGGTAACTCCAGGGAACCAAACACAGCTTGTTTGTTGGACTCTTCCTGCTGGCCATGCAATTTGCACGTTGGATTTTGGTGAAGCCTCCCTTGATGACAAACTTCTTGGACAATTATGCATTGTATTGTACTGTGTTGTATCATGTTGAGACCCAAAACTTTCTCCATAGCCAGGGCCTCAACAATCCCCTCGAATACATATAATTTTGAAAATCATGAATTGAGACAAAAAACATTTCAGTTTCAAGCATGGAGCCAACCTATAGACGATCTAAGGCCTTCTACATCCCTTATTACACTGGGCTAGACGTTTCTACAACTGAGCTTGCAAGGAGGGCAACTGAGGCATGTTGGCAAAGTGGAATGATTGTTAGGGAATGCAAGCTCTAGGATCACGTGTTGCTGGCAACAAAGTTAGGATTGGCATAACGCTAGGGTGGAGGAGTGGAATGATCACTGTTCCTCATCACCAGCAACATGGAATCCCACAAATATAAAGTACTGTGGTGGTTGTTATGCTTTTGTTTACACTTACATTTTTTTTTGTATTAGTATAAAAGAAAATCAGTTAGATTATTAGAGAATGTCTAGAATATACTTAAGTATATGCTTTATACCCTTCCTCTTGAGAGATAGAGTCCTGGCTCTAGGACCTACAGAACTGAGGGAATATTCCATTTGCCGCCATGTGAGTATTAGGGTCACGACCATTGGGGGGAAGTCCACTAAGGGGAAAACAGTCAATCATAGGAAGTGAAGTGAGAATAAAGGATGCCTCGACGAAGAGTTCCTCAGCGAAGCGCCCTTGATCGTGTGAATGAGCGCCTTCGGATACAAAGGGAAGAAAGAGAGCATCGTCAAGCCACCATGAGCATTTCCTGTCCTCACTGTGGGTTTACCTTAGGACAAACACCTAGTTCTTTGGGGTGTCTTCAGGACCATTAGAGCTTCTCCTCATAAGAATTTAGAGTGCAATAGCTCACTTATTTCATTTTTTTCTTTTGAATTTGTAGAGTTTTCTTGCAAAACAAGCAAGATTGAGGGTTCTAGCAGCAAGGGATCCCTAGGATGGATAAGAGTTCATGCTAGTACGAATTTGGAGTGCAAGCTCACAGATCTAGAGTTCTTACTCATAAGTGTGAGTGGTTAGATCTAAAGAGATTATAATGGCGATCAAGAGAGAAGCTTTTGATATGAATATACTCTCGTGACTGGTATATTGATTATAAATAATAATGTTTAAAATTTACTTATATTATTAATTTAGTAGCACAATAAATACTTAAAGTAAATAGCAAATTTTAATACTAGTAGACATTTGCCCTAGCAAACGCGAAGAAGCAATGTCTAGCAATCAAGAGCAGCATCGAGCTCGCGACATTCTTGTGAGGTATTGCAAGAGGCTGCCCAAGATTGAGCTCCACGCGCATCCCAATGGCAGCATCAGGGATTCCACACTACTGTGAGATTTCTCTTTTGTTTTGGGACGAAATGTGTAACTCCGGTGTGTAGGGAGCTGGCTCAAGAGCATGACCAGCGTGGAACCATCTCTTCTTATCCAAATGTCCGGGAAATCATACTCAAAGGTTTCCAGACTCTTTTCTCTTTTTTTTTTGGGCTCATTTCTTTGGTGCCTGTTGCAGAAGACCGATCACTACAAGAATGCTTCAAGCTTTTCGACGTTATTCACGTTCTTACCACGGACCATTCATTTATCACGCGAATCACGAAAGAGGTCCGTAAGATCTTTTCCTCTTTCTTTTTTCTTTCGTTGTTTAAGCGGAAAGAGAAACTAAAGCTATGAAACGCAGGTGATAGAGGATTTTGCTGCCGAGAACGTTGTTTACCTGGAGCTGCGTACGACACCAAAGGTTTGTGACGCTCTGTGATAACTTCTTTTCAACTTTAGCTTTTAATTCAGTCAAGCTTGCAGAGCAACGTGTTGACAGGGATGACAAAACGCTCCTACGTCGAAGCCGTTCTTGCGGGAATCACCAAAGCCAATCTGGTTCTTTGTGAAAACCATCAACTTCATGCTCATGGAATTCAAGTACGGCTTCTATTAAGCATCGATCGTCGAGAGACCACGGACCAGGCCATTGAAACTGTAAGCTGTTAACTAAGTAAGCTGTCTCCTTTTTCTTTCCTTTCATTTTATTCACGTCTTAGCTGTAGGTGAAGCTTGCGCTGGAAATGAAAAGCCACGGGGTTGTCGGCATAGATCTTTCTGGGAATCCTGTCACTGGAAACTGGTATAGATTTAGTTTCTCAAGTCTTAGCTCACTTGTTATTACCTTGTAGGAAGACGTTCTTGCCTGCATTGACATATGCTAGGCAGTGCGGCCTCCCAGTTACGTTGCATTGCGGAGAGGTACCCGTTGTTCTAAGGTCTATGTTATAATTCTCATCGGTATCAACACTGCAGGTGCACAATCCAGATGAGGTAGAAGAAATGCTGGCCTTTCATCCTGACAGACTAGGACATGCATGTGTCCTTCAAGAATCTCAATGGGAACGGCTGCACAATCTGCGAATTCCGGTCTCCTTCATCTTTATTTTTTTTGTTGAGCATTTAAAGTTTTTATATTTTGCAGGTAGAAGTCTGTTTCACTTCAAACCTTCGTACCGGGTGCGTGAAATCCATCTGTGACCACCATTTCGGTTTGTTATGTCCGCCCCATTTAAATTTTCTCATGTGATCTTTTCTATCAGCATGGCTTTACAAAACTCACTACCCTTTGGTCATCTGCACTGACGATCGAGGGGTATTTTCCACCAACCTCTCCTCTGAGTACGCCATTGCAGCAACCAGCTTCGGTAACTACTCGTCAGATGTATGTCAATAATGTTTCACTAACAATTCTCCAGATCTATCGGAACACGATTTATTCGAGCTGGCAAAGAATGCCACGAGATTTATCTTTGCTGAGGAGCCTCTAAAGCGGCACTTGGATCGGATTTTTGCCGGTGTGGAGCCGAACTATCGTTAGAAACACCCAATTTCTGTGAGCGACAAACTCTTTGGTACGCTTTTGATTCTCTACCTGACGCAGATAGTAATTCTCAACAGGTGTCCAAATGCTAGATTGTGCATGCATGCACGGAGAGGATTATATATCAACCAGGGATTGTCAGATCACGCGGGAGGGTGTCGAAGCTATCGATCTTTTTTGTAGTTTCATCCGTAGGTAGGGATGGATTTGGTGCAGTTTTTTCTTAACCTGGTGGTTCCACCGACGGGACTCTTCTTCCTAGCGCTCGCATGGCCTCCTCTGACTTTTATGAATGCTTGCCACTGGTTTCTAAGCTTCGTTTTCAGAGAGAATGTCCGAGGTAAGGTTGTGGTTGTCACGGGAGCAACATCGGGAATTGGGGAGGTAAGCAGCTTCTTTTCTATGGTTTTAATTCACTGCTGGAGTTTTGCAGAAACTAAGCTATGAGTATGCCTCCCATGGAGCTAAGCTGATATTGGTCGGAAATCAAGAGGGCTTGCTTAGAGATGTGGCTGGTAAATGTCAGAGGATCGGTGCTATGGATGTTCGAATCGTGACTGCTGATCTCGGGCACGAGGAAGAATGCAAGCGGTTTGTTGAAGAGACAGTTCATCAGTTTGGACGCTGTAAGTTTTGTAGTATCGGGAACTTCCTATTTTGCTCTGAATTTTCTTTCTGTAGTGGATCATCTAGTAAACAACGCTGGGATCATGCACAGCTATCTGTTCGAGGAGGCTGTTGATGTGTCCAGCTTTCAGTCGATAATGGTAAAGTATGGATTTCGCTTTTAAGTCACTTAATGCTGTTGGTTTAGGATGTCACATTTTGGGGATCAGTTTATCCTACTTACTACGCTCTCCCTCACCTCAAACGCTCGGGAGGTAAAGTTGTGGTGAATTCTTCGGTATCAGCTTGGTTACCAATGCCACGCCTGGCCATCTACAATGTAAGCTTTGCTTTCCAACTTATATATTATTTAGATGCTTAACAAATAACTCCAGGCCGCCGAAGCTGCGCTGCTGAATCTGTTTGACACGCTGCGTGTCGAGGTTGGAAACAGCGTTGGTATCACAATAGCAACCCCGGGATGGGTCGAGAGCGAGATCACTCGAGGCAAGTTTGTCTCTGCCGAAGGCGAGCACGTAACAATGCCTGACCTGAGAGACGTAAGTGAACCAAACTGGAGTTCTGACTTAGTTCCACATCTACAACTTCCTTTCCTCGCAGGTCACCGTGGGACCTGTTCCAGTCACTTATGCCGAAGAGTGTGCCAAGGCAATCTTCTCGGGGACAGTCCGTGGCGCTCGCTACGTCCGTGTGCCTTCCTGGTATGGAGTGACGCTGCTCTACAGAATCTTTGCTCCTGAGCTCATCGAGTGGACGTATCGATTGCTCTTCGTGTCTCCGGCTCCTGGCACTCAAGTTCCTGCTGCCAAGCTGATCATGGACGTTCCCGGCGCGAAAGAGATCTTGTATCCTTCGTCAATTGTTCATCCCCAAAAAACCGAGTAATTTGCTTTGTGTGTTTGGAATATTCTGAAAGAAATTGTCAATATTTGGTTTCTATTTCTAAATATTAAACTGCTAGACCCTTTAGGTTTGACGAAAAGGATTATCAGCGATGGAGAGCGTGGACAAGAAGACCAAAGCTCATAGCGTGGCAGCGATGGAGAGCGCCAAAGGTAACAGCGACGCGATCAAGAAGAGAAAGAACACGAAAAGGCAGTGAGAGGAGGAGGGACAAGCGGCCAGGGCCCCAAAGAGAAAGCGCCGCCAGGAAGTAGTGGGCATCCCAAAGAAAAATCAGGTAGCATGTAACATTGATGGGTTAGATATCACTTGGCATCAAGATTTCCATGACTTCTGGCCACGACCGACATCCAAGCTACTGGCACCGGACTACCTCCACTGCGCTGGAGCTCAAGAGCTTTACAGGCTCCTCACCCAGGAGCTCTACTGCATCCAGGAGAGAAGAGATTGCGACGATCATGACAAGAGGAACGCCCAGCTTTTGGTGGTGATTGATGAGGCGACTCGAGGACTTGTGCCACTCGACTAGATGTGCTGGAGACAAGATCTGGTATGGAGTCCAGATTAAGGAAGGTGGAAGCTTGTGCACGCTGTTCAAGTATATGTTTGATGGGACGAGAGCGTGCATGATCCGGGAGATGTCCAAGGAAATCCATGCCCAAAACTGCATGAAGAAGACAAACAACACAATCCAAGAGATCCTGTCCCATATCACGGGGAATGGTTACTTCTCTCCAATCCGTGTGGAAAGCATCCACCATTGATCTAAAACAGTGTATTTAATGACTATCAAAATGGAGAACAAAAAATAGTGTGTTATTTCTAGCCTCTCTCTCTCGATCGATTGACATTGTCAAAGCATGTTTCGCTTCTTAAATTCCTGATGCATCGCTTCACCAATCTTGGCTGGTGATTCTACAACCGTGACTCCCGCAGCTTTCAGTGTTTTGATTTTGTCCTGGGCCGTGCCTTTGCCTCCCGAGATTATAGCTGCAAGGAACACACCATTTATCTTTTATGCTTGAGATTTCAAGCTTACCTCCAGCGTGACCCATTCGACGCCCGGGCGGGGCTGTCAATCCTGCAATGAAGGACACTACAGGCTTTTCCGTCCCACTCTCCTGCAAGAGTGTCCTCCTCAAGTTATGTCCAAGGCGTTATACAAATTAAGAGATCGAGTTTCACCTTGATAAATTGCGCAGCATGCTCTTCCGCGGTTCCACCGATCTCTCCAATCAAAATAATGCCTGGCAAAGCGGAAAGGACTTGAACCGACACTCGCAGCGTAAATAAGAGAGCGTAATACCTTCCGTTTGTGAATCCTGGACAAAACGCTCCCAACAGTCCACGAAATTCGTTCCGTTGAATGGATCGCCTCCGACGGCCCAGACCGACAGCAGTCGTTTGAAAAACCTGCAAAAGAAGAAAAGAGAAAAGCAAAGGATGTCACATAAGCTAACTCTGATAAAACGAGAAAATGTTTCAGTACCGCTTCGTAAGTCAGTGTACCGGACCGAGAAACAATGCCAATGCGACCCGCATATTATTGGAATTTTTTCATACATTATTGGCTTCATCTGGAAGCACTTGCTGGATTTGGCGCCTTCCAAGCCGATCGAGCCGTTCGAGGTAAGATTGTCGAATTCTCCTCTCTTGTGAATGGCCAAGCTTGGAAGGTCTCCAAAAGAGATCGTGAAGCTAACGAGAACCTCTACGGGCCTCCACCAGAAGTATGTAGATTAAGAGCTCTAGAATTTTTTCCCTCTTCTTCTTTTTCTAGTCCTCGTTTGTTTGATCCTTGGGAGGAATGGACTTTCCAAACATTTAGATCCAGAGAGCAGGCGACTTCGAGCAGCTCTTTCAGAAGCCTCGGGACCGCCTATGGATTACATTCTTGCTGGCTGCGGTGCCGATGAGCTCATCGATTTGATCAAGTGGTAAGTGACCGACTCCTAGCGTGTTTTTTCTTTTTCTTCTTTTGCTCTTCACGAGATGGTTCTTCATCTCTTTAGTTGTACATTGGAAGGTGGTGACAAGATTGTGGATTGTCCTCCCACTTTGACAATGTATGCGTTTGATGCCGCTGTAAGCGTCATCTTGTTTGTGATTCAATTTTCTTTGGTCTGTTCTTTACTAAAGCTTCTATAGTTCCGAGGTTTCATGACTTCCGCATCTATGTTCCTGGTATCGTGCAGGCAGTGAAGGAGCACTCTCCAAAGATGATCTTTTTGACATCGCCAAACAATCCAACTTCAAGGTAAGTAAGAAAATCTTGTATGTCAAGTATATGTTTTTGCTCCTGTTTTTTCAGTTTAATAATCGATGAGGATCTCATGGCCGTTCTTGCTTTACCACTTCTTGTCGTTCTGGATGAAGCATATATTGAATTTGCAGACCAACCTTCCCGGATGAAAGGTTCAGGACTACGACAACCTCATCATTCTTCGGACTTTTATTAGCAAGGGTGCGGGTCGGAAATAAAATCTTCCAACAACATGTTTGTGGTTGGCTGGATCGCGCGTTGCAAATGGTGCCTTTCCATTAAATGCAATGTGCCCAGTCAGTGGAGACACCAAAGGGCTGGAAGAGGTGGCCATGTTTAATGCCAAGATGGCAACGGCTTCAGCTCCTTCAGGGGATCACTTTTTCGTGGCATCCAGCAATGGAACTCACGCGGACAAGCTGAGGAAGAGCGGCTGTCCAGTGCTACATCTCCAGTATGGTACCGAGGGGATTTGAGCCACTGCGGCCGGGGCTGCTTGTCAGGGCAGCAGCAGCGCAGCAGGCTCGAGGGAGCTGGTGAGTGCGAGTCTGCTGGCTGCGAAGCTCAAGCAGAGGAGCGGTGTGGGCGGCGGCAATGGCGAGAGTGGCAGCAGCGTCTCGAGCATCGTGCAAGAGATTCTAGCGAGGGAGATTAGCTCTTCAAGCTCTGGAACAAGCGCAGCATTCTTACGATATATTTCATAATTCTTCCAACTTCGGGTTTGCTCGCGGCTAATCCTGGCCATCTGGATTGGAGAATTCCTTGGATCGCAGCTGAATGCCAGCAGAAAGAAGGTCCTGCCACCTTCAGCTCTTCTCGCTAGTGCTCACCATATGGGGAAACAAGGTCGCAGTGGATCCACTCTTTCGAGCTACCGATCCAGACCTGCAGCAAGGATCCTTGATCTTTCGCACGTTTGTGCAAGTTCACGAGGTCCTTGGCCTTTCTCAGGTCTTTTTGATCCGGAGGATCCATTCTCGACAACTATATGGCTGCAAATCATATCATATGGTATGGAGCAGTCTCATAGGAGGAAGATCCCTTGTTCAAAAGAAGATACCAAGTAAGAAGAAACAGAGGTCCGCCCCCAGCGCGTTGAGCAGCAGCACCTCCAGTGATGATTCGAAGAACAAAGTACGCACAACCGCTCCGCGGAAAGTTCCCTCTGCCAGTAAACAATTGCAACGTCAAGCTTCTAGGGAAGGGAAAAGAGGACTACCTTTGACCTCTAGTCACGTGCGCCCGCATTTTAGCCTTTTTTGAGGATCATTTCTACAAAAAATAAAAAGATAAAAACCGATCTTTCCTTCTTTTTAACTTACCAAAATTCTGTTAACACCAACATTGGAGCTCGTTCTAAGCGGCAGATAACCTGATAAATAATTCTCACTCTTTTTGTTCAAGCTTTTTCTTAGCATCGAGCCCTAGCCAATACAGCAAGACGTTATACATATGGCTAGCACGGTAACGCCAGCGACTTTGTGAGTACCTCACTGCCACCATAAACTTTCACGATGAGTTACTTGTCATCCTTGAACCTGCATGTCCCACCAACAGTAGATAGGATGATTTGATGGGTCCTGAAATAACTGTTATTATCATATGCTTGACTTTGCCAAACAGGGCAATGGTTTTGCTATCTGTCTTTCTGGTTATTGCATAAAATTCCTTTCATTTCCTGTTTGAATCCTGGCGAAACCAGAAGTGATATCAAAATGGAATTCCTAGGGCCAGAAAGATAATAATTTTTTAAAGAAAATCACATAGAAATTAGGCGGCGCAGAATGTGCAGAAGGAAACACGAAACAAAACAATCTCGGGGCTACGATTTTCTAATTGCGGTTGCGTAGCCTGAGCAGGTATCCTTTCATCCTTTCTCCGGGCTTGGGTCAGGGAAAACCAAGGGATATAGTTTCAAGGTTAGAAGATCCACCTCTTCACTTATTTTGACAACTAAGCATTGTCTATGTGTCTCTAAAAGTGAAATGGTGATGTAGCTGCCTTTGGAAATCTCTTCTGTGAACGTCATAATGATGCCACCTTCGTCCACGTCCATACGATAAAAGTGGAGCGCAGCCAGCCCAGAAGACTTGTGGCATCAAGCGTCTCCCTGAGGGAATTTCGAAACTCACAAGCAGCCAGAATATTTTATATCAGGAAAGGGAGATACTACAGTTAACAGATGATCAACCTGTATTAAGGTGGTGTTCTTTGGGATGAGCTGCACCAAGTGCACCATTCCACGGAAAGAAGCATGTATTGATAGCATTGATAGCTGAAGTATTCAATGAAGTACCAAAGTCACAAATATCAACAAAGCTAGCTCTCTCAACAAGAAATGGTTAGTTTAATGTTTATGGTTCTTGGTGGCATTTCTACATGATCCAGGATTGAATAATTAGAATAAAACGAAATACATTCTGTTGATGATACTATTCCAAGGTTCTATTTTTGTCCTTTTGGCACGCAATAGCGAAACTTTGCAAGGGTCCAGAGCGACCAATGAACAAGGATGATAATGACAAAGGCAAGAGAATTTTATTTAGAAAAATCATATCAACAAAAACACGTTCCAAGGTGGAAATTTCTTCTATTCTATCATCTAACGTCTACCCAGATTTTTGAAAGGGAATGGACACTCAACCTTTCAAACGGTTTGCCTGGATCCAACGCTGAAGTGTCCACCGGAGCACATTCCACAAGATCAAGCCACGACTTCCAGGCCCCAAACAGGCGCGGGTGCCCATCTCGGTCCTCGCTTCCGCCTCACGGCCTGCCTCTGCCTCCCATGTTGGATCGCACTGCCTGCTGCACGCGCAAAGGATCCACCACCGTCACCTTATCATCAGCCATAGAGCTTACCTTGATGTCAAGGGTCAAGAAACACTCCGTGGTAGCCACCCCGCTGAAAGGCGGAGATTCCCTTGCAAGATCAGCAATCGCAGAATCGGACTGCCTGCACTTGACCCGGTTGTGCACCCTCACGACTCCCTTGTCATCCGTGATGAAATGCTCGTCTCCGCAGTTGCAAGCCTCGGCCACAACCGCACTGTGCCTTTCCGCAGCCCCTCAACGTCCTGCTGCGTCATGAGCTCCTTAGCTCTTCTTGTGGATCCTGTGGAATGCATTGAAGCAGAGCTTGGAGTTTGCGAGCTGCCTGACCCCGTCAGTCACCTTCTCCAGGCCGACGAGCTTCAGCAACGACGTCCCCAGAAGCTCGGAGTATGATAATCCGCGCTATAAGCTCACCGTTGCATTCTTCATGGCCTTTTCAAGTGGGATATACAGCTCCCTGCTGCGTCCTTCATCATCCCACTTGCGCATGATACGTGCCGTCGCCAGTGAAACTATTGGCTCCATAGGCCAATCTGCTCCCATCCACCTTGAAAAGCGTCATAAGGCAAGCGTAGAAACCACGGAACAACGTGGATCAAAGCTGAGAACACACCGGGATCCCAGCACTGCAAGTGCCATCGTCTCCGACAGCTCAGCCTGACCGCTTACGTGCTTGCCATAAGCACCGGCTCCTCCAAACAGCTTGTCGCGGCAAATACAGGTTGTGGTCGAGCAGTATCCTGGCCTCGTCAAACGCAAAGAGCACCCGGACGCTTATTCTTCCTCAGCCTGGAGCTCACCAGCGTCCACCGGAGCCACTCTCTCAACAGCACGGCTCTCCCAGTCTTTCCAGCACTTGCCTATCGTCCGGCCCTTGGCATCGAGCAAGCCTGCACGTCCGCAGCAACAGCTCAATCCTTTCACGGATTCCCAGAATGCTTGCCTGCCTGACAAACTCCGGGATCGTACCCTATGTCAGTGTCCTGATCACAGCATCCCGCGGTGTGATGCTCGAGTCGGCCCCCACGACGCTGAGAAACTCCGCCAGGCAATAGATCACCCACATCCCTCCTTGACCCCACCCGCATCTCCACGCGCGCAAATGTACCATCGCCCTCCGCGCGATTAAGCAGATCGTGCCCACCAGATCAGGCGGCCCAAGAGCCCTAAATCCACTAGGGTTTTAAAAAGGCGGGAAAGTGATTCTACCTTTGAAATTATCGTCAGGCACTGCCACGTAAGAAATGCCACATCTACATTGATAGTCCACGTCAGCGGAGCTTTAGGGTTTATAGTCCCCATTTTCTCAGCTAGCGAATGTCTTGGGGGCTGGGCTGGAAGCGCCCGGTCGATTCATTCCACCTCACGCTCGGCTATGGCGAGCAATCCACTAATCTCCGCAGCAGGCAGGACAAGGCTGAGGAATCTGAGAGAGAGAGCCAGAAGGCGCAGGAGGATCAGGAGGAGGAAGGGAAGAAGCGCAAGCAGCTCGCGCATCTTGTTCTTCCCGATGCGGCAGATCTAGCATCGGAATGTAGATTTCGCTTCCAATTCGACTGGTCGGCCGCCGACGACGACGATCAGACCGCTCTCAAGCTCCAATCCCAGCTCATGGTGGCGTTACCGACGCCCCGGGACGAGGTATGCGTGAGGCTTTTCTTGGATTTGGAGGATCCGGACGCCGTGAGGGTGAGAGTGAGCATGGGAGTGAGGGAGAAGCGTGAGCATCTCAAGGTCTTATCGCTGTCGCGAAGCATCGGGTCGGGAGGCCCTCCGGTGGAAAATCTTGGAGTTCTATCCAAGCTTTTGGGGCCAGCCAATTTCGCCGATAGCGCACTTGCGAATTCGCAGCAGTGGCACGCGCTCCAGACTTTAAATCTTGCCAATTGCTCGCTCACGGTATGGTCTTTATCTTTGACGTCTCTATTCATACAAACGACAATGCAGGTGCTTCCTTTGGAATTGACCAAGCTGCCAATGCTACGAAAGCTCCTGCTTGACAATAACAAAATCAGCGCTCTTCCAGCGGCGATCGGGCAGCTCTCGCATTTGCAAGTTCTACGTGTGGATCATAACATGCTTGTTTCGTTGCCTGGTGAGTAGTTTCTTCTTGTCTTTTCCTTTTGAAGGTACTATATATCATATGATTGTTCTTTCAGCTGAGCTCAAGCAATGCGCGGCATTAGAAGAATTGTCTCTGGAGCATAACAAGTTGCTGCGCCTTCTTCTTGACTTCAGGTCTTGGTAGATGCATCTCCTCTTGCAAGGAGGCTGAAGTGGTCGCTGTTTGATTACCAGAGCAATGACCAAGTTGAGGCTGCTACAACTTTTTGGCAATCCCTTGGAATTCTTGCCTGAGATCCTACCGTGCGAAGCCTTGCGCATTCTTTCGCTTGCAAATGTTCACATAAAAGCAGACGAAGATCTATCCAACATAGCCATAGACATTGAGGTATGCTTCTGTTCGTGTGTATTGATTTTGTTTACCTTCTTCTTGCAGACCGAGAATGCGTCGTATTTTGTTCAATCAAAGCACAAACTCAGCGCCTTTTTTGCTCTAGTATTTCGGTTCTCGTCCTGTCAACATCCTCTTTTGGCATCAGCGCTTGCGAAGATTGCTCAAGACCCTGGCAACCGTGCAGAAATGGGAAAGGACGAAAGTGCTGTTCGCCAACTCTTAAGCATGATACTAAGTGACAATCGCCACGTGGTACGTACGAGCTCAACTTTTGCTCCTGTTTCCAATAGCCTTGAAATTCTCAGGTTGAGCAAGCGTGCGTGGCACTCTCGTCTTTGGCAACAGAAAACCCCATAGCACTACGACTAATAAAGGCTGATACTGTCGAGTCCATTGAAACTGTTTTGAAGTTCACGGCTCCCGAGCTTCTTACTTCGGTTCTGAAAGTTATTGTCAACCTTGCTTTCTCGTCTGATGTCATTGCGTCGAAGATGCTTACTAAGGACATTTTGAGGCGTCTAAAACAGCTATGTGCTCATGAGAACATAGAGGTTGGTCTTTCCGTTTTTGAGATTACAACTAAGCTCGGTGTACAGGTACAACGTCAAGCCTTGTTAGCTGTAGGAAATCTTGCATTCTGTCGAGAGAACAGACAGTTACTGGTAACTTCAGAAAGCTTACGAGATTTGCTTTTCCGTCTATCTGGTGCCACAGATTCACGTATATCCAAGTCCGCTGCACGGGCCTTAGCTATACTAGGTAACGAGTGCTCTCTCCAGTCGCCTTTTCAAGTCGTATATTTCTATTTCAGGTGAGAATGAGTATCTCAGACGAGCAACAAAAGCCCGTTCTGTTTCGAAGCAAGGCTTGAGAATATTGGCCATGGACGGGGGTGGAATGAGGGGTCTTGCAACCGTGCAGATGCTTAGGAAAATTGAGCAAGGAACTGGAAAACGGATTCATGAGATGTTTGATCTTATATGTGGCACATCGACGGGTGGAATGCTTGCCATTGCTCTTGCAATCAAACAGTTTAGCCTTGACAAATGCGAAGAGATATACAAGACGCTGGGTGTGTACTTCAAATTCTTTGTAAGCTGCTTTTCTGATCCTCATACATTTCAGGAAAAGTAGTGTTTGCCGAGCCGATTCCAAAGGACAATGAAGCAGCCACTTGGAGAGAGAAACTAGATCAACTCTATAAAAGCTCGTCACAGAATTTTCGTGTTGTGGTGCATGGCTCTAAGGTGAGGCGCTTAATCTCTTTTACTTTTCTTTTATTGATGGCAGTCTTTTTCTCTGCAGCATCATGCAGACCAGTTTGAACGCCTCCTAAGGGAGCTTTGCGCGGATGAAGAGGGCGACCTTTTGATAGAATCTGCAGTTAAAGGGGTTCCAAAGGTATTTGTGGTATCGTCGCTAGTCAGTGTCATACCAGCCCAACCATTCGTGTTCAGAAATTACCAGGTACGTAACACTTTCTGTGAGTTTAACACGGTTCGCTGAACTTTTAGAATAGTACCCAGCGGGAACTATCGAGACAGCTCCATGGACTAAGGAAGGACCAGCTGTATCAGTTTCAGGAACACCTGCAACTGCCGCTCCTTTAACAACTCAAGTAGGTCCGAAAAGATGTGCATTTTTGGGATCGTCTAAGCACCGTATATGGGAGGCTATAAGGGCATCATCTGCTGCTCCTTACTACCTGGATGATTTCTCTATAGGTACATATCGAAAATGCAGCAGTAGCCATATGTTTTTTCTTTTTCTTTTTTTTGGCAGATACAAATCGATGGCAGGACGGAGCTATCGTTGCAAATAACCCAGCTTTGATTGCAATTCGAGAGGCACAGCTTCTTTGGCCAGACACTTCTATTGCATGCTTAGTGTCCGTTGGATGCGGAAATGTTCCAACAAAGGTTCTGTGGTCTTTTTTCCTTTTCGTTTCAATGCACTGAACTGCTAGGATTTCAGGCTCGTGGAAAAGGAGGCTGGCGATATCTAGATACCGGCCAGGTTTTGATCGAGAGTGCCTGCTCTGTCGAGCGGGTAGAAGAAGCCTTGGACACGCTTCTGCCTTTGCTTCCCGATCTTCAGTATTATCGTTTTAATCCTAGTTAGTATTTATGAAAAGGCTCTTCTCGTACTCATGCTTGCTTTTCCAGTTGACGAGCGATGCATTATGGAACTGGACGAAACTGATCCGGCTGTTTGGCTGAAACTTGAGGCAGCTACTCAAGAGTATATCGATGCGAATATTGCTTCATTTCATGCAGTCTGTGACCGCCTACTGAAGTTGTCACTAGAAGAAGGAGCCCGACCAGCAGCCAAGGGATGGCCTTCGAAGAGTACGTAATCATTTTCAATGATGCTGAGTGATGCAATTTCTTGAATGCAATGCAGAAAATGACAGTCGTCCAGGACTGGGATGGAGACGCCGACTTCTTCTCGTGGAAGCATCCCGTAGTCCCGAGATGGCGAAGCCTTTCAAGCATACTCGAACTTTGGAAGGCTATTGTGCTCGCAACAGCATCAAGATTGAGGTCGTTAGTAGCTCCGGTGGAACCTTACGCTCGGCAGCTTCTTCGTTCACGCCCTTGACGTCGCCATTATTTTCAAGCACACCGTTTCCATTCAGTCCTGACATCGCCTCACAGATATTGGGCCGCTCGGAGGTTCCACCTCTCAGCCTTGATGGTTCAAAACAACTTCACACGCCTCCAGGTTCGCCTCCTTTGGGACCTCGGCAGCTTTATGGTCCAGTGGCAACGTTGCACGAGAAGATCCGAAGTTCTCCCCAGATTGGAGTAGTGCATTTGGCATTACACAGCGACCAGATCGGTCTAGTCCTGAGGTAAATCTTTCTAGTCACAAAAACTTGCTTGCTGATCAACTCTGTTTTCCCTTGCAGCTGGAGGACTGACATTTTTGCAGTAGCTGAGCCAGGCGACATGGGCGTGGAATTTCTCCAGAAGGTGACAACAAGCATACGCCAGTCCTTTGTAAAGAGCCATGGGAGCAAGAACGTCCAGCTTCCAACGTACACTAAGCTGGAAGACTTGGTGTCAAGACACCCTCGTTTCGTACTAGATGGAGCGCTACATTGTTTTATGGGTCGGATGCAGGTATTGTAAGCTATTTCCTTAGAGGATCTCTGACACGGGTGAATGGTAGATGCTAAGCGATGGCCAGGAAGTTGGATCGTACCTCTTTCGTAGAGTACTTCCCGATGCTCATCTCACAGCAGACGACGTCCGGTGGATGGTTTGTTTGTTTAGTTTTCTACTCGTCCATCTCTTACGCTTGATGAAAAACTGTGTAGGTAGGGGCATGGAGAGACAGAGTGGTGGTGTGCACCGGAAAGTATGCCCCGATCCCAAGCCTGGTGAAAGCGATACTGGACGCAGGAGCCAAGGCCGTGATCGCTCCCATTGCCGAGCCGCCGGAAGTGAAAGCCGCCGAATGTGGAGGAGAGAAGGCCGACTTTGAGATTGGCGAGGAGGAGGAGGAGGAGGAGGACGGGGTGGAGTTCGTCCACCACAACGAGGGCGATTGGGAGGACAGTGACATTGACGAGGGGAGCGAGAACAAAATGGAGAGGCGAGAAGTGGAGGAGCGGGGATTGTCGGCCTTCATCTCGTGCCTCTACGACGAGCTCTTCAAGAACGGCGTTGGAGCGGAGAGCGCGTTGCAAAGCGCCGTGGATTCGCATCCCAAGCAGGCCTATCGCTGCATTCTCCCGGCAAAGGATTGAAAAGAGAGAGTCAACGGTCTAAGATTTTTTGACTTGTAAGTATATTCTTTTAGTAAGCTCTAATACGAGTCAACGGTCACAAAATATTCTGCCACGCGGGACAACGCAGTCTGATCTGTGTTGCCGCTGCGTGTCATTTTTGGACCTTTTTCCTTCCAAGAAACCCTAGTTAGGGTTTTAAGGGATGCCATTAAGGGTGCGCATTTAGATCGAGTCCTTAGCCATGGGAATATGCCAGACATTTTAATCGCAAGCACCAACATTTTGTGTAGATTCGGTTCGGTCTCTTTCTCTCTTTTCTCTCTTTTCTCTCTCGCCTCCTCTGTCGTGTTCTTCGATCCCTCCCCAGGGGGAGTTTTTCCATCCGGCATTGATCGAGAGTTCTTTATAGTGGATCTTTCTTGAGGATCACACGGAAATCTCATGGGAGATGCGACAGGCGCGGTTGCCGATCTAGGTTCCCAGGCGCTGCCGGACAGCTCGGAGCCGCGGCTCGGATCAATCCAGGATGATCCAGATCCTGCTCCAAAGAACCACGCCGAGGTAAAGCTTCCTCTAGGGTGTAAAGATCCCTGACGATCGGCGCTGGGATCGAAATAAATGTGCCAGGGTAACGGCAATGGATACAAGAAATCACTCTTCCCTGCCGCCGGTGGAGCTGGAGCTGGAGCTGGGGCACCGAAAGGGAAGAGAAATTCTCTCCTCAAAGGCTGCTCGCCTCCGGCATCGACTCCTCGCTTGAAGGCTTCTCGATCCAACTTCACTGTGCCGCAGCCCTTTTCTCTCACGACCGAGAAGAGAGCCACCGCCGCCGGATCAAAGCCCACTGGCAATGGTGTTCCCACCCCGTCAAAGATTTCCCAGGTAGCCTTGTGCTTTGGGTGTTCTTTCTCACGATCATTTGGCTCAGCTGGTTCCGCAGAAGAGCACGCCCAAGAAAGGAGACTTTGCTGCTCATCTAGCGAAAACCTTCGCTGCTTCTCCGAGGTAGAGTTCTCTTTCTTTCTTCAGTTTGGTTTTGGATGTCTAAAGGATTGGAGCTTTTTTATTCTGCAGTCCTGATAGTCTAGGACTCACTCCAAAGTCCAAGGCCGAGTTTGTGTTTAGATCTGATGAGCGTGCTCAGAAAAGAATGGAGGTATGGTTTTTCGTGGTTTTAAAAGCCTGGTGCCTGGATCGTGACTGTTCGTTATTATTGAGTGATTGGTTCGTGGCTCGCTGTTCCAGTTTTATGCGAACTTAACGGAGAAAACGAGAGCAAGAGAAGCGGAACGGAACCGAATCCAAGCCAGCACCCAGGTATATAAGCACGAGAGTGCCGTTTCTTTCCTTTGCGTTTGCTGATGGTGAAAGCTTGGCTCTACAGCAACAAGTGGCAGCGGAAATAAAGAAGCTGCGCAAGGATCAAACCTTTAAAGCCACACCAATGCCGAAGTTCTATCAGGAGCCACCGCCTGTGAGAATAGACGTGAAAAAGGTCTGCTGCTGCTTTCCTGGCTAGACGGGCATGACTTGCATGTTTCTTTGTCTATAGACACCTCCGACGCGGCCAAAGTCTCCCAAGCTGGGAAGGAGGGGATCGGGTTCGTCCAGCACTGAAGCTCCACCGAAGATCATTGCCCGGCGCTCGAGCGACGAATACGACGTGAGTAAAGTTCCAGATCAATTTGTTTCTCCCGAGCTCACGGCCCCGGAGAACTACGCAAATGATGCTGCCGAGGTAGGATCGGAGCACAGCTCTCGAAAGTCCGACGGCACTCTCGTTCCAAAAGCGGCTCTCTCGGAAGACGAGGATCATCTTGTTGACGCCACTCTCATTCCCAAAGCCGCTCTCTCTGAAGGCGAGGATCATCGCGACTCCACTCTCATCCCCAAGGCCGCTCTCTCGGAAGACGGAGATCATCACGACGCTACTCTCATTCCCAAGGCCGCTCTCTCGGGAGACGAGGATCACCACCACCACCAGGATCATCATGTAGCTCAAGACCAGGAAGTTCACGAGGTGGACGATCACCACCACCACTTGCTGGAGACGTCGAGGTCGAGCAACGAATCGCCAGTGTCGGCTGTGGAAGACGAACTGGACGCTGCTTTCCAGCTCCCGGTGTCCAGCTCGCTGCTCGACGATGGTGACGACGATCTCCAGGAGCTGGGAAGTGAGGATGATGATCCCGACGAGGAGTTTCCAAGCCCGGCGAGCGATCAGAACGATCGCGAGGAGAATGTGAGGGTGTTTATCAGCGAGGAATTCCGGCAGGCTGCTGCTCACGAGAATGACGATGATGATCGTCCAAACGACGAGGAAGAGGAGGAAGAAGAAGAAGACGATGAAGAAGATGGAAGTGGAGCTAAAGTTTATGTCAATATGGATGGAATGAGAGCCGAGAAAGAAAACGAAGGACGCCACTAATGAAAGGAGAAATAATCCATGCTTTGTTTTCTCATTCTTTGGAGAACGCCACCATAGGAGAAGAAGAAAAAAGCTCCGCTCTCTCTCTCTCTCTCTCTCTCTCTTGTTTCTTAAATGGACGAAGAAATCGTGGCCCTCCATTTTTTCTAATAAGCCCCATTCCTTAGCCTAGGGTTTGATGCTTTGCGGCTAGGGTGTGCCCGTCTGGTCGTGGCTCGCTCCGCCGGCGCTCTCGCAGGATGTCGCTCCGGCCGCAAGCTCGCACTGAGGTGAGAAAGAAAGGATACAAGAATGCCGTCGATCCGGATGAGGCGCGCCGGAAGCGCGAGGACAACATGGTGGAGATCCGCAAGAACAAGCGCGACGAGAATCTCATGAAGAAGCGGCGAGAGGGCATGCAGCCGCAGCACTTTATGACGCCCGGATCGATCGTGGAGAGAAAGGTATGCGCGTCTCTGGATTGGGGCGAGGGTGATTTGATTCACTGGTGGTGTGATTTCCTTCAGCTGGAGAGCTTGCCCGTGATGGTGAGCGGTGTCTGGTCTGACGATCCCAACTTGCAAGTCGAGGCGACGACCCAGTTCCGGAAGCTACTGTCAATTGGTAGCTTTTGATGAAAATCTATTTTTTCTTGGTACTGACATGGGTGTTTGTGAAGAGCGAAGGCCTCCGATCGAAGAGGTCATCAAGGCAGGCGTGGTTCCTCGATTTGTAGAGTTTTTGAAGCGCCACGATTTCCACCAGCTTCAGGTATGCCCATTTTTTTTTCCTTGCGGTGTTTGGGTCGTTAATAGGAGTTTTAATGAGCAGTTCGAAGCTGCCTGGGCTCTTACAAATATTGCGTCCGGCACTTCCGATCACACGACGGTGGTTATAAACCATGGAGCTGTGCCTATCTTCGTGCAGCTTCTTTCATCTCCCAGTGAGGATGTCCGCGAGCAGGTGATTTTTTCCTCTTGTATTTCCAAAGCTTGGAATCTGACATTGCCTACCGCAGGCAGTATGGGCTCTTGGCAATGTCGCTGGCGACTCTCCGAAGTGCCGAGATCTCGTCTTGAATAGCAATGCCATGATGCCTTTGCTAGCACAGCTGAACGAGAATGCGAAGCTGTCTATGCTGCGCAACGCAACGTGGACGCTATCAAACTTTTGTCGTGGCAAGCCGCAGCCGAACTTTGAGCAGGTATGTGGGTCATTTGTAGGCATGTCGATACAAATTTGATCGTTGGTCGGTGTTGTTTCTTGCAGTCGAGACCTGCTTTATCTGCTCTAGAAAAGCTGATTCATTCGACTGACGAAGAAGTCCTTACTGATGCATGCTGGGCTTTGTCATACATATCCGATGGTACAAACGATAAGATTCAAGCTGTCATTGAGGCCGGTGTGTGTCCACGTCTTGTGAGTCTACTCATGTAAGTCGTGTCTTTAGCTGTGACTTTTAACTGGGCTGACGTTCCTGGTTCCAGGTATCCTTCACCGAATGTTCTCATTCCTGCTCTTCGTACGGTGGGAAACATTGTGACTGGTGACGATGTCCAAACGCAGGTAAACTTGAAACGGAACATCCTAGATATTTCTTACGCCTGTCTTTAAATTTATTTCCAGTTTATCATAAACAATGGAGCGCTGCCATATTTGTTACATCTTCTTACCAATGTTTACAAGAAGAGCATAAAAAAGGAGGCTTGCTGGACAATCTCGAACATCACTGCCGGCAACAAGGACCAAATTCAGGCCGTCATTGAAGCCAACATCATTCCGCCTCTCGTGGAACTTCTTGCCAACGCAGAGTTTGACATAAAGAAAGAGGCAGCGTGGGCTATTTCCAATGCAACCTCTGGCGGTACACATGAACAAATCAAGTAGGTTGTCAATGCGCTGAGACGCTGTATCTGACTCTGGAGACGCAGGTATCTCGTGAACCAGGGATGCATCAAGCCTCTGTGCGACCTTCTCAACTGTTCCGATGCCAAGATCATTGTGGTGGCCTTGGAGGGCCTAGAAAACATCCTCAAGGTCGGCGAGACGGAGAAGGACCTGGGAAACACTGGCTCCATCAACATCTACGCTAAGTTCATCGACGAGGCGGAGGGCCTGGAGAAGATCGAGAAGCTGCAAACCCACGACAACAACGAGATATATGACAAGGTGATCAAGATCCTCAACAGCTACTGGGTGGAGGAGGACGAGGAGAACGTCGCTCCAGGTGTAGCTCCGGCCCCCGGACCATTTGCATTCGGGAATCAGCCTACTGTGCCAAGCGGTGGCTTTAATTTCGGTTGAGGTATGTCTTTTCCTTTCCCTGGATCTCTCGAGTGACTGACTTGGTGTTTCTGTGGTAGAAGAACATCATCGAGTCGGGAGAAGAGATTTACTTGGTCCGCGATGTGAGCAGCATCCGCGATCTGTGGCAGACGAAGCTGTGCTGGTGTAAAGTCGAGTTGAGTTTGAGCTAGTCGATGGTCGACAAGCTTTTTGCAGACCCACCGGGGGAAGGAGAGGGTCTTGTAGAACAGCAGCAAGCTCTTGCTGTCAAAGCAACGTCTCGTATTTGAGACGGTGCTCTTGTCTTTGTTTAGCCGGACGTGCTAAGTGCGGTGGTCGTTGTTGTGGCGGTGGCGTCTCCTCCTTTGTCCGAGGATCGTCATCGCTGCTACTATTACAAGGAGTGGATTTTGGGTTATAAAAGAGTCTATTACAAATTCGATGTATGCAAGGATTTAAATGAATGAATGCATGAATGAGTTGAATGTCCTTGATGCTTCAAGCTTTTTGCAACTCCTTGGAAGACTTGAAGGTTTGGATCGCCAGCTTTGACTGCGTCGAGGAGGCTTTTGAGAAGATGCCGGCCAGAGATGCTGTGGTGATGTATGCCCAGACAGGGCATCTGGAGGCGTATAAGTCAATGTAATGATCCGAGCTTATGCCCAGCACGCAAAAGATTGTTTGGAAGATGCTTGGACTCTGATTCTTGCGCTTGCTTCCGAAAAACATATATATGACACAAACTGGACTCGACTTCACACCATCACAGCTTCGTCTGCCACAGATCACTGACGCTATTCACATCGCGGACCAAGCAAATCTCTCTTCTCCTCTCTCCTGCAAACGGGGCAAATGCAGTCCTGTTTGAAAGGATGCCTCAAAGAGACGAGGTAATGACATGCCCGAGCACGATGTAGTGGTGACAACCGCAATCATGAAAAGCATATGCCCGCTCCGGGCATCTTTACCGTGTGAATGTTTTCGAGGTGTCCTGGAGTGTGTTGGTTCTTGCGGTGAGCTAGATCGAGCGCAGCAAATGGTTGAGTTGACTTTTTAAACCATTCATTTAAACCCATACTTTATCGAAATACCCAAGAGACGATGCTGTGCTGGGGCATACGGAGCCGAGGAAATAAGTTCTTTTGAGCAAGGTTATCAAAGCAATTCCTCGCATCAATCCTTTTGACCCAACCATAAGCAGGCCGTCACAACAACCACATTCGTTTGAATTCCAATATCACGCGAGAGACGAGATAGTCTCAGGGACACAAAAAATGTTACGTGACCACGAGTCTAAACAAGCTGGTTCTCTCGAGCTCTCCCCGGAAGTACGGTATTCCAGGCGTCCAAGCGAGGTCACATTCTTGCAGCCATGGAGGCTTGGTACCAGAAGGCTTGAGTTTGTTTTGTTCGCTGGAGCCTCTTAATCCCAGGTCTATGCACCGCTCTAGCAGAGCTTAGGGAACGCTTGGACTTAAATATCTCTGGACAGATTCTTTGTGTTTGTTTTAGATTGATCATTCAATCTTGCAACACACTCCCACGCGCGCTGGAGCTGCGCTCGCGAATCTCGATTCCAAGCTGCTGCAAGAGAGAGATCTGCGGAAAGCATTTGGCGTGCAAGATCCAACCCGTCGAAGGAATGCTAAAAAAACGGCGTAAGCGTACCTAAAGACTTGGATTGGAACTGACAAAGACGATCTCAGATATACACTACGGAGAATGGTCCATTGTTGTAAATTAATCAACGATTTTAGTTGAAGCTCCACAAAGGAAGATTGAAGTTTCATGGCTTGAATTCTTTGAAACACTTCCCAGGGCGAATTCCTCCATCGTTTTTACAGCATTGGAGAATTTACAATATTTGAATTCGTCGTGTTTAGATCACGAGCAGGGTTTCTGGTGAGCCGTGTCTGGTCTGACGATCCCACCTGAAGCTACTGTCTGGTAGCTGCCTTGTTCTTTTTGATGGAAGTCTATCTTTTCTTGGTACTGACATGGGTGTTTGTGAAGAGCGAAGCCCTCCGATCGAAGAGGTCATCAAGGCAGGCGTGGTTCCTCGATTTGTAGAGTTTTTGAAGCGCCACGATTTCCACCAGCTTCAGGTATGCCCATTTTTTTTCCTTGCGGTGTTTGGGTCGTTAATAGGAGTTTTAATGAGCAGTTCGAAGCTGCCTGGGCTCTTACAAATATTGCGTCCGGCACTTCCGATCACACGACGGTGGTTATAAACCATGGAGCTGTGCCTATCTTCGTGCAGCTTCTTTCATCTCCCAGTGAGGATGTCCGCGAGCAGGTGAGGTTTTCACTTGTATTTCCAAAGCCTGGAATCTGACATTGCCTCGTACCGCAGACAGTATGGGCTCTGATACAAAAGGCAGCGACTGCTGGCAACGACTGCTCATATTGTATATATGAAGCTATATATACATGGGCTGTGGCAACTGCCTAATGCCACATCATCCTAACTGCCTAGCTAAGCATCTACCTGAGCATCTACTCTCAACACTCCCACTCAGGCGTGTCTACAAACTAAGACAAAGCCTGAACATAAGATGCTCAGCATGCATACAACTGATGAGGAAAACCTGCAAAAAGAAAAAACTCATCTGAACTGGTGGTACTCCACTGACTCCCACTCAAAGCGACTACATCTTGTTGCTCTAGGGCTTGCTGCCTCTGCTACTCTTGGCTGCTTTGCCATCACTCCTTTGGCTGTTGCTGCTCCTCTCTTGGAGCTCTTTTGCCACTGCTGGGCTTCTCAGCCAACTCTGCCGCTGCTATCTGCTGCCGCTCACTTGGCTGCTGCTGCTCCTCTCTTCGAGCATCTTGGCCACTCCTGCCGCCGTTCTGCTTCTCGGCCTGCTGAGTCACTGCTCTGCTGCTCCTGGGCTTCTTGGCTGCTCTGCTGCTCCTTTCTTGGAGCATATCAGCATCTTCTGCCGCTCCAGGGCTTCTGAGTCGCTACTATCTGCCACTCCTCGCTGCTGGTATGGCTCTGCCATTGCTTTGTTGCTGCTCTCTAGGCTACTCTGCTTCTGCCGTTGGCATCTGGAAGCTTCTTCTTCTTCTTCATCCTTCACAGGTCCTCAAGATCTGTGCTCCGATACCATGATACAAAAGGCAGCGACTGCTGGCAACGACTGCTCATATTGTATATATGAAGCTATATATACATGGGCTGTGGCAACTGCCTAATGCCACATCATCCTAACTGCCTAGCTAAGCATCTACCTGAGCATCTACTCTCAACAGGCTCTTGGCAATGTTGCTGGCGACTCTCCGAAGTGCCGAGATCTCGTCTTGAATAGCAATGCCATGATGCCGTTGCTAGCACAGCTGAACGAGAATGCGAAGCTGTCTATGCTGCGCAACGCAACGTGGGCGCTATCAACCTTTTTTCGTGACAAGTCGCAGCCGAACTTTGAGCAGGTATGCGTGCGAGGCATGTCGATACAAATTGCGATCGTTGGTCGGTGTTGCTTCATGCTGAATAAATTATCTGGTACAGAGAACTCATGAATCTGTGCTGTGTTTGCCTTTCAGCTCCACGAGGAGGTGGCTGAAAACATTGAATGCCTTGCTCGAGACGCCCAGATCCTTGGCATCCCGCAGCGCAGTCGAGACCTGCTTTATCTGCTCTAGAAAAGCTGATTCATTCGACTGATGTGGTAGTCCTTACTGATGCATGCTGGGCTTTGTCATCCGTATCCGATGGCATAAACGATGAGAAGCTGTCATTGAGGCCGGCGTGTGTCCACGTCTTGTGAGTTTAAGTCGTGTCTTTAGCTCTGACTTTTAACTGGGCTGACGTTCCTGGTTTCAGGTATCCGTCACCGAATGTTCTCACACTGTAGAGGCTTGATTGAGTTCTAAGCTGGAAGGCATCACTGTGAGCCCACTCTATACTTACGACGAAATCACTTTTGTTTTTTGCAAGAAGCAGCCACCATGGAGTTCGTTGCAAATGTGGCTGCCTTTGAGTGCTTCAGCAAACGTGGATGCAGGAACTTGGTCGCTCAACTCTACTACCATGAAAAAACTTATGGCGTGATAATACCATGCCAGGTCTGTTCCTGCGAGCAGCTAGATCATTGCACTTTGGTATTGACAGATCAATTTCTGGCACGCTTCTCTCCTTTGGGCAATCTTTGCAAGCAGCTCAATCTGGAAGGAGTGAAAGAGAACGAGGTTCTCTTGCAACAACAACAGCAACAGCTATTTGAAGTCACGAGGACCTCACTGCTGGTGCGGAGTTGTGGACATGCAGGCTGAAGGATGGCAAGCAGCTCATCGCGAAGGTTTGTGGTGGCAGTGAAGGTACTTGCAAAGTTGCAGGTGTTGCCATTGTCCCATTCCTGTTTGTATGTTATGCAGTGTAGAGTGAAGTTTAGGGCAGTTTCAATGTGGTTTTCCCAGGGTAGTTTGGATCCCTCCTAATTACCAACTTTTGAGTGTAGGTGATGTTGTCCTACTTGATAGTGCGCCAGGATTCTAGGGTGGTGTTGTAGCTAGCAATACCGATAAGCCATTACGGGTTGATGGTCAATAAATAGTGTTGTAATTTTGTGTCATGCCCCTTCTCAAGCCAATGATCTGGGACATCTATGGTATTTTCGTGGAGTGTGTCAAAATCCATGCGTAGATCTCTTTTCCAGAACCACAGATTGTGCCACCACCCTTTACTGGTGTCCTCAGCAAGGTATCTTAAGTAGTGTATATGATGTTGAGGATGTATTGCATTGTGTTTATCTAGACAAGCTAGATTCCATAACTACAATCTCAATCCACTTTGTTGCAACCAAATTCAGCATTAAGGACAAATGGTTAAGTTGTTCCATTTTTGCTGTAGTCCAGATATATTATGTATGTGCATCCATAAGAAAATATTAGCTTGTGACTGCTTGAATGCATTTTATTGCCCTAGCCTTCCACAAATTCTTTTAGTGGACCATATACCCAAGGTACTTGTAGTTTTCTACTCATTATTGTCATTTCTGTATGGTGGACAGCTAAATACTATGACTTGTGTTTTTGTGGGTTGATATGGGATACCTTTGCTTGGCACCTATCATGCATTCTACTGGTTGACTTAGGTATTTTACAAGAATTGTTGTATAGAGCTGTTGAATGGCTTGTAACAGCTTCTGGAGTGTTAGGCACCACAATTGATCACTTTTTTTGCCAATTGGATTAGGGTGTAAAGGATAGGATTTCCTTGTTAAAATAGTTCCCTTATTGAATTCTATCCAAAATAGTTGCTTCTTCTAGTATGTCTTATGTTCATGCATATAACTGGATGAACTAACACTTTCTACTTTATATTTCTCCACAGCTAGAACATGGCTACCATTGTTTGCTTTTTATCACTCCAAAATATGGCTAAAATATAACTTGATTATAATTGGCAAGAGTCTGAACATTCCGCCTAATCTGAGTCACTAATAGTGTGGAGTCTAAGTATCTCAAACCAAAGGATGAAGTACCAC